GCGCCAGGCTGACAATGGTTTTGGCGAGACGTCGCCAAAGTTGGCAACCAGTTTGGTGAGATTTTGGTCCTATCCCTATGCGATTGTAACTGTAGCTGTGTATGTCTTCTAGCAATTTCGAGACATGGAAGGTACTGGAAATTTTTCGGAGGACGGAGAAAACTATATCTTTTGGAAAAATATGCTTTCTGTGTGCATTCAATCCTCACGAACCTGTCGTCTAGAAGCAGTGAAAGGAATGCACGAGGTAAAAAAAGTTTGAGAACAACTGTATTAATCGAATTGCTTAGTGAAATTACCTATCAGTACCATTGTAGAGACATTAGGTTGTTTAGAAGCAGGTGAGATGAAAATGAGCAGTGCCTTCGCCGGGACTCGAACCACGGACCTCTCGATACGCGCCGAGCGTGCTGACCACTCCACTACGAAGGCGGAAGAAATACCTTATATACTCCCCCTTTTAAAGAGCGACTGGGGATTAGGGGACCCAATCACCAAATCCCGGGGGTAGAGAATCATCATCCATCACCCTTTTAGTTCGGGCGCCACTATTAGGTTATTTGGAAGCAGGAGAGATGAAAATGAGCAACGCCTTCGCCGGGACTCAAACCATGGGCCTCTTGATACGCGCCGAGCGTGCTGACCACTACATTACGAAGGCATGTTAAGAAGGCGGGAGAAATACCATATACCATTATTATTATAAACTGATCAAGGCAAACGTGGGCTTTTACAAAAAAAAAAAAAAACCCACGTTTTGATCATTCGTTATATAAAATTGCAGATGAATTTTGCAAAGAGAATTAATTAATCTGAAGCTCCCAATAAACTGTACCATAAATTATTATTCATTATTTATTTTACGAGCTGATTTAAAATTAATTTTAATTCATTATTTATTTTACGAGTTCATTTTTTTTAAATAAAAGCTCATTTTATAAACTTTTACAAAAAAAACATTTAAAAAAAATTGTATTGTGTATTGCACAGTTGAATTTTATATTTTTGAAAATGAAATAATCAGATTTTTAAGTAATGTAGATAGTATTTTGAACAAACTAAAAATAGGATGATAAAATTAAACCTATGATAATAGTGGTTTAATTCGAAATTGAATTGCTAAAATATTTGCATCCCAATTTTAAACAGGAATTATAATTCTTATATAATGTATATATATTTATAATTTTTTCGAAGGGTCCTTTGAAAGACATGTAAACGTTACTGTAATATAAATATGGTTTTGTAGAGAGAAAAATAAAGAAAAGGAAATTACTTTAAAAAAGAAAAAAATTTCCTGCCTCTTCAGTTTTTTTTCTACAAACATTGAATCTAGAGTAAAAGAGATCGGAACTCGTACTTCAAATCGAAATCTCGACCAGATGGATTTCGGGAACCGAATTGACGTCGCAGCTGCGCCTGCGCAGGTGCTGTGAGCTACAGCTGTGCGTATGCAGATGCGAGTCCCATATTGCCGCGAGAACTGCGATCATTTTTCTAGCAGGCGGACCATAACATCCCATGACAACTGCCGAAAACCCAAATGGATGATTTCCCGGAGCATTCATTTATGCTGCTGACCTTTTTGCACAGCGGGCAACGGCATACAAATTAAGTTCTTGAAAATTTAATCGTGGGAGATGGGACGAGACCGGGGACATTTTCCATGCTTAATGTTATTAGCGCATTCTCTTATCGGGAACGTGACAGGAAGTGTTATTTACACGAACGTAACATTTTTCGCATTCGAAATGTCAATAACGAAGTTTGACCGAAATTTTATAGCCTTACTTTCTGTACGGTGTAGTAAGATCGACACCCTACAGAAATTCAAATTCCATGCGGGCTGCATGCACGATCTGTAGACCTACAAAAAAAAATTGGGGGGCTACACATTGTCGTTCAAGTATATATTGACAGTTGAATATTAAATTTTCATATCTACATCTCTTTCAAATAATTCTAACATGTTTAATTAATGATTAAAAAATTATTTTAATTTAAATTGAAACAAATTATGAAAAATATTAAGTTTTCAGAGAAACTTGAAACGTAAGTTGACAATAAACAATGACAGCGTCATTTCATTCTTTTATTTTTAAAATTTTTCTTCGACGCATAAATAAAAATACATACTGTTACGAATTTTGTACATATATAAATAATCTGAGTGAAATTATGTATGAAATTTTTGTATTCTCTTCTGTAGAATGTAACATGAAAATCTAAAGAGACGATGCTCTGAGGGAAAAATAAGAATACAAGGGCAAGTCTACTTAACATTAAGTAAGTGACCGTCTCGCTAAATTGGCGAGAAATCGCCTAAAGTCGCCAACTGGCGGACCATTTGCCCACATTTTGATGCGATCCTTGTATCGCCGTAGTAGGTATTGTAGCCGAATAACTCTAATTGATTTCATATGCAACTGTAACCGTATCCGGCCCTCATGTGCCTTCTAGTAATTTTGAGAAGTACTAGACATTTCTCGGCGGCCGGGTGAAAGCTGTATAAGAGCTATTATCGGTTCTGTGTGCATTCAGTCTATTACGAATCTTTCACGCAATGGTATGTTTGTATGTAAATAATGATAAACTTCTTTATTTCTTAACTTGATGCCGTTTCGATGCTGATAAAGTTAAAAGCCTTGGAGAGAAATATCTTCCATACGGATTGTTAGATGCTCGTCTGTGAATCAGATTCTTTTCTTATTCATTTTTAACTATGAAAATAAGCTATTCACATATTAATGCGCTGCCAAACAAAGCGATTTTTAATAGGATGCAGAAATTCCATCATTCATTCTCATGTTTAGAATTGCAATTTTTGCCTTTGAACGTATAATATTTAGGATTTTCTTTTCGTAGCTTTAATTGTTCAATCATTTTCGAAAATGAAAAATCTAAGTGCATTAAAAATTTAAACCTGATTCTTAAAGCTCGCCAAGAAAAAAGTCACCGACAATTTTCAGCTTTCAGGACACATAGATGCAAAATATATCTCAAAAATAACACCGCTGCGACATCGTTCTAGAACTTAAATATCCATAACTGTTGCCACGCGCAAGTTTCTAAACTATTCTAACAAAAGTTAAGTGAGGTTTGCTCAAGAATCAGGAGATATATAATACAATAATTAAAAATAATAACGTGTTCTTAACACTGATCATATTTGATTAATATTTAATCTTGCATAAACAATTAAAAAATTATTTATGGGGGCTGTAATCCCAACTTCGTGAAAAATTTCTTTTACTTTACTTCCAAAAAAATCAAACCTGTTTATGTCAAAACAAAAAATACTAGAAACATGAAGCAAGAACTATTTTCAATCCTAAAGTAACAAATTGCTGGATGGAAAGAGCAAAGCCGCAATGGACAAAAAAAAAAAAAAAAAAAAAAAAAAATTCTAATAGTATATCTGCCGGAAAAGGTTCTGGAAACCACTTCACTGTCATGTGCCAAGTTCCGGTTTTTGAAAAGAACTTGCTTTTGCTAGATGCCAATAAAACGTGATTCTATACATCTTTGTTCTTCAACAATTCGCCGCCCTCCGTGCCTGCCACACGCCCGAGCCGGTAACACGTCACGTGACCCACCCCGAATGTGGTATTGAAGTCATAAAAGTTCACCGGTCGTATTGGGAAGAAGTGATGGAACGGTGTTTGTTCTCTTTTCAACTTACTTTACTTCTTTATAAAGAGTTTCTGCTTTAGCTTACAATCCCCCCCCCCAACTTCAATCCCCAGCTGCTAAGAGGTCTTAAAAACACACTGAAAACAAGTGGGAATGCATAATTAAATGTCTATCAACAGATGGCGCCGCCGATGCGTGTCAGGGAATAGATTGCAACTACAGCGAAACATTTCCATTAGCTGCCATTCATCTGATGGATGTTTACACGCTTGGGATGGCAACAGCCTTTTATGAAGATTGCGTATTAAATTAAAAGGGGGGAAAGAAGAAGAGCAAAGAAGGGGAAAAATAAAAGTATATGGTCTAAATTATAGTGCTTTCCTGTTTTATAAGGTCGCTTATCAGTGGCGTAGCTAGAATTTTTGCTGCCCGGGGCGGTTACTCAATTTCTCTCCAGGGACGATGTCTGAATTTAATATGCTGCCCCTCTTCATATGCATGCAATAAAATTATTTTAAAAAAATGTCAAAATGAGACGTAGAGAAATAAATTGAAAATCTACAACTTTAATTGAGACGTTCTAAAATTATGTTATTATTAGCATTATTCTCGCAAAACCAACGATTTCTTGTGATTTCTTTAAATTTTTCATCTATAACAAAAACTACTTTTTTCCACAATTTATTGACCACCAGCGGCCGAGCGGTAACATCGCTGAACACTGGTAGTTCGGTCCGAGGTTCGAATTCTGCGAACGGGCTGGCTGCATGGGCGTTTTCGTGGTTTTCCCCATGCCAGTGCCGCTCTAGACGGGCACAGAATTTTTTTTTGGGGGGGGGGGAAGAGGAAAAAAAAGTTCTCAGAACAAACAAACTCCTAATTAAGCCTCAATGACAACTTTTATCGGCAAGGATAGTTAGCAATTTCTTGCCACCCTGACGAATTTTTAGACTGGACTTTTAGATTTTTTAAAATGCTTATATATATAGAAAGAGAGAGCGCATATATATTTAAAAGCACATATATATGTATTTTCTTTTAAGAGTTATATTGAAAGCATATTTATTTTGTACCCTTAGGAACTGTATTTAAAGTGTATTTATTTTTTACTCTTAAGTATTGTAATTAAAGTTTTATTTATTCTCAGGTATTTTACTAAAAGTATGTTTATTTTTATCCTTAAGTGTTTTATGGAAAGTATATTTATTTTTATTCTGAGATATTTTACTGAAAGTATACTTATTTTTATCCTCAATTATTTACTGAAAGTATGTTTATATTTATCGTCAGTTGTTGCACTGAAAATATACATGTATATTTCCCTCTTACTTTGGGGCACTAAAAATATATTTAATTCTTACCTTTAGGTGTTGGTATTGTGCTGATCACAGTGAGTGGAATTGCGTGGAGACTGACGTCACACGACGCCCCTTCATGTCGTGCTATGCTGGGGTTACAGAATTCGGAACAAGAGCCAAACAGGAGGTTTGTTCCTAGGGTACCGCCCTATGGTAGGCCCCACCACCCCTATGCAGGTGAGTCTTCTGTTCTTCATGTTAGTACAGCTTTGACTTTAAAAGCTGAAACGTCAGATATTTCAGGACCTTTTCATAAACCAGAAGGAACTGCCGTTTTTATTTTGAGATTAAAAGTCTTGTCAAAAGAAAATCAAAAAGCTACTGCCATTTTATGGAACGTTAAGTTCTTTCATTAGTGCTCAGATTTATAAAAGAAACATCATAAAATAATATAACAAAAGAATTGTTCAAAAGCAGTGTACTCTTTTTAATAATCTTTTAATATTACTTAGTAGCAGCATGTTTTATTAGCATTTGCAAACAACAATGTAGAATTAGAGAAAGATATTTGTAAAGTCATATACAGTATGTACTTTCTTTAGAAAGTTTATCTGTCATGTTGTGAAAGTTCATTAGAAAAAACTTAGAATTTGAAAATATAAGAGAATTATTCAAAGGGAAAATTTTAATTTCCATTTTGTAAATCGAAATTTCTATCTAATGCAATAGTTTGTGCAGGACAGTCTGCATGAAAACTAAAACTCAATGTTAACAATAAAATTCTATAGCAAAGAAACACAACAATCGTTTGTACGCTTCCTCTCTTTTTAAATTTTATATAATAATAAGAATAATTTAACTAAATAATTTATTTATGCAACAGTTTTTCTCTGATGAATTACAATTTTGACAAATTTTGAGCAATTTTAGTATAAATAAATATATGTTACTTTTTGCTAAAACTATAAAAATGTATGTTTCGATATGATAATATAAAATTACTAAGCATAATAATAGTGATTTATGATATTGGGCAAGTATTCTTAAAAAGTTTAGAATTTAAGAAAAAATTGCAAATTGAAAATTGCAGAATTCTTAAAGAAGATATGCGATAAGAAACTCCAATAGCCATTTTACACACTAATTTTTTAAAAATTTAACACAACTATTACTTCATATTATTCCTTTACAGTAAAGCATCGTTTCTTCCTGTCATATTTTTACAAATATGCAAAGAGGATTTATTAAAAAATGAAGGATTTGTGATTTATTACCTTTGATACACATGGAAGTAATAATAAATTAATAGTCAAATCATCAGTTTTTAATAATATTTTATTTTTATCGTACATTTTTATATTTATTAAATGTGGAATATAAGAATAAATATAAGAAATGTATTTTATTGTAATACATCATACGATTGTCATCAGTGGAAGTCATCAGTTTTTAATAATATTTTTATTTTTATCGTACATTCTTAAATTTATTAAATGTGGAAGGTAATTATAAGAATAAATATAAGAAATGTATTTTATTGTAATGTAATATCAACTGTATTAAGAAAAATATCATTATTTTTAGTAATTTGGTTTTCCTGTACTCAATAGCACTGCAGAAAAACACCAATAGTTGAATATAATGCTACTAGATGGCAGCACTAAAAGTGTAATTCTTCATAGACGAGAATTGCATTTGATTAATCAATTTCCACTTCATTTGTGTTGTTTCTCATCTTTTCATTATAAAATAAATAAATGATTTTATTTATTTGATTATAAATCAGATTTGTAAGCCTGAACAATTATAAATTCTATGGGACTGATTTAAAACGTGAAACATTGCAGTATGATCAGGGGCACCATCTAGCGGAGTTACTTTGTAATACAAATGACGGATAATATCTGCATTTTTAACGTCATGTCCGAATTTTTTCGCCACAGTCTAAACCTCAAAATGACGAAGGAAGAGCATTAAAATTGTAAAATGTAGCAACATCGTTATTTATTTACACTTCCACAACAACTGCTTATGTATTTTTGAAGTATTTAAAATAAAATGGCATTTATATGAAACAAAAAAGGAAATTTCAAGTTGAATAAATGTATCCTTCTGTTTAAAAGGTTTTATGTGATTTAAGAAAGTTTGGCATAAGTTTCTCCTCTTCAAAGAGCAATTTAATTTTGCATTTAAGTTTTTCAAAAGCAGAGACTTTGAGGAAGAAAGACTTCTTTCCCTTTTAAATCAGACGAATTTCAAAGGAAAAGAAATGCTTACACAAAAGTAATTTAAACCATAGCTTTTTCAGTTAACTAGGAGTGATAACTATTATAACTAACTAATGTAATAAATGTATGTATTATAACTAACTCTTTAGTGATAATCAATGATGTTTTCTTACAAGGAAAATTATTATAATTATTTATTGAAAGTTCTGGGTTTAAGCTCTTCTAAGCAAAATAAATAAATCATAATATCTATCTAGTATAATATCTATCTATATATATCTGTAATAATTTGGTGGTATGATATGAGAACCAGTTATGTAGCAATCGTGGTGGGAAGGTGACAGCAGATAGCTTGAAACAGTTGCATACATGCCTGAATTTGAGAAAAGCATAACTGGTTTGACAGTTAAACACATTTTATTACTGGACGGCGAACTTCATAGCATATATCTTCTTGATTGGTATAACACTAGAGGTGCTATAAGCGCCCCACAATTTTATGTAAGCAAATCTTATTATTACTACAGTTGAAACTGCCAAGCGAGTGATTATATGCTTATGTAGCGAGAGCAGGAGAAAAAAAGAGATGCATATGAAGCAGCTGGAGTAATTAAAGACTGGGCTTCTTTGTCTCAATCTTAATAGCGATTGAGTAAAAACTTATTGCAATGCGGATTGCTGCAGGAAAACTGACGCAAAAATGAAAGGATATTAAACTAATTCATAGAGAAAATGAGTTATTATTGGTTATCTCAAATAAAAACCGCTTTAGGTGAATTGCGAGTTAGGAAAACAGGTAGTTTTAAATCAAAACTAAACTTCATGGCCCTTAATCCCTTACTTGGCGACATATCTCTGACGTTTGACACTTGGTAGTTTCTATACCATTGGTCCCTTCCCCCCCCCCTATGCAGCCGTTTCACCATTCACAAACGTTCACTCCTCCCCCCTTCCTTTCATAAACCCGAAAAATACATATACATTTATTAAGTTTATATTTCTTGGAATGGGTTTTATAAATTATTCACTGAAAAGTATAGAAAATATCGATAAATACTGAGCAAAACTTGAATAAATTTAGTTTTCTTATGCTCATAAACTAAAACTAAATATTTAACAGGTAAATAAGAGACTGATTGCTTCCCTTCTGAAACTATGAAATCCCATAAGGGAATTCCCCTCTCCTTGAGAACCCCTGTTCTTATACTCTATTTCGATCTTACTTGGTCGATTTTACTTCAGCTCTAAAGATCCATTCTGCAGTACAGACACCACTAGATGGTACAAATAACAGCAGTAAAACAAAAAAGTTACGTACACCTTTTTGAATCACTGAAATGAGCTGCAAGTTCTACAAATGAATAAATACGTTAATACTCAATAAGAGGAAAGTTGTAAGGATATACTTATTTTTATTAACCAGTTATTTTATGTTCATTTGCTTTACTGTCTTTCTTCTCTTCCATTTTCCTGCGAGAATGCAAATTTTAGCATATTCAAATGTGATAAAAAGAGATAGTATTTAAAGGAAGGTTTTAGATTGTTTAATCAAAGCGTATTCCGCCTGCTAAAGGCCACATCGCTATTCGATCTGTTAATTTGCGATCTGTCTGCCGCGTTACGTTTTTCTCGTTGTTATTAGGCTTCTCGTGAGGGTATTAGGTTTCAGCCAAATTGCGCGTTATTCATTCTGTGTAGCCTCTGTCTGGCTTAGTGTAAATTTGAATTCATTATTTTTAAGTTACGCCATAAATGCTGACTGGTTTTGAAAGCACAAGGAGTTTCTTGTGTTAACTTACTAAGTTTTAATAAAAGGGTCTTTTCTTACTAAACACAGTGATAAGTCGCTTTAGTCTTAAAATTAGTTTATGCTTCCAAAGAAGGTGAGACTACAAAATGAAACAGAAACATAAGTTGAAAATTGTAGAAGTAACAGTTAAGAATTGATATTAATTATTTTACAAACTGCAACCAGAGCCGGATTTAGACTTGATAAAGCCCTAAGCTATTTGAGATACGGCGCCCTTTTTAGTCTGTTATGTACTCTATTTTAATTTTGGGGGGCTTAAGCTATAACTTGTGTAGCTTATACGTAAACCCTGCACTGTTTGTAACAGATGGTACCGCATGAGGACAAAAATTTTCACTAGCCTGATTCCATGTGTAATCCATGCGTGATTTGCAATGTATATAGACGTGTATAGATGTATACATAGTTTATTGAATATGAAGCTGTATTTTCATGTTTTACTCTCTCAGCAAAGTTTAATTCTTTAACAATGATCTCGGCGAGTTTACCAACAACTGTGTCTTCTCATGCAGCAACCGGCTAATTTCACATTTTAGATCAAGTCATGCGACCACGAACTTTTATTCTATGCAAATTTGTGCAACACAGACTGCGGTGGTTTTTCATGTCACTCTGTTCAGTGACGACGGTTCCTGTTAGACGGTACTTTTCTGAGAAACGAGATTCTGGCAGCAATGGTTTGAACGGGAGGATTCCTAGAAGAAAATGCTCCGCTGGAAGCGAAGTCCCGTCTAGCTACGGAAACCGTGTCCCGGCTACACGGGATATTTTGAAACTTCGCAAATGTACCGTCTGCAGCTCTGCCCCACGTAGAGATCATCCAATCAGACAAAAGTTCTGCTTCTGAAGGATCACGCGATCCCAGTCTGAACGATAGTCGATTACTGTTTGGCGTTCAAGTCTTTGTAGTAAATGAAAAGGGTAATCTAGCTACGTATGTTTCCTGGAAATGTGCGGGTTCTGAGAAAGGTCCCTTTCGAAGTCCACTCCCCCTTAGCGGGAAGTATATGTGATAGAGACTTTAGAGGTGTAATCTTCGAGAGCCAGAACACGTCGAGTAAACGATGCGATGATCTCGGCAAATAGTGCTAGCTGGAGTTTATTCCACGATTTCAGTAAAATCAAGCGTCGATAAATTCAGTGCTTCATTAGAGCTGATAAACTCGTCCTTCGCGTGATAAATCATCGATAACTCAATAATATTGGTATTGGTATTCTGATAACACTAACCGCCATGTTCATCACAATAATCGATATGTTTTCCATGTTTTCTTATACAAACGGGTAAGACTGCGGCAATGCAATTACGATATCCGAATGGGCGCCTACCGTATTAATGTTTTTTGTAAATTATATTTTGAATCATTTTGAATCAGAATATGTACTATTATATTCTTAAGACGTGAATGGGAGATAAATTATTCTTCTTTTTTTCCAGCGATGATGTATCCAGAGTTCCAATACAGGCCTCCACCTCCGTCGTACCAGGCCTCGATGCAGGAGTACAGGCTGCGGTTGCTGCTCCTGGACCGACAGCAGGGGTCAGGATCCGCTTCGAACACCGCCTCGGCGCTCTCCCCTGTGTCCCCACCGCCCACGTACAGGTCGCACACAACGGGCACCCTTCATTCCAGGTAAGAACAACAAGAACTTGGCCTCCGACCTTGTACCGTCGGAGATCTAGGTCAGTTGGTAAAGCTGAGTAGCTTAAGACGACTTTGGAACCAGGAAGTAGTATACGTACTTCTTTTTGATGGGTGCGGAGGAGTTGTCTAGTTTTCTATTATCGTAACAGAATTTTTTTTTTTTTTTTATTATTATTTTTAAATCTGGGATGATTAATGTAACGTTCGATGAAGGTCAGACCTCCCACGCGCGTACGACGCCAAAATTTTTCTTACTATGCCATAAAATGTTAAATACAGCGTTATTCAAAATCACCGATCCCATTTTTAAATTGAAATTTGCATGTACAGTGTATGTGAAATCAAAAGCATAATTCTCCCCATTTAAGTGCTTTATACGACTTCCGTTAGGTGCAAGAACAGTGGGAAGATGATTGTTCGATGTTATGTAAATTGTATTTCTTTCTTTGTACCGAGGAGCGGCGCAGACGCAAATTTGTTAGGTTTTTAAAGCTCGCGGTTAGAGCTTCGAGGTTGATGTGAATTACTGGAGTTTAAACTAAGCAGAGGTTCTTCTGAGTTTGTGTTGGTAAGCCGCTACTGAGTTCGGAGTTGGCAGTGTGGTCTTCGCCGTTCCTCAACTAACTTACTATTTGAAAGTCAATAAAGAAGTTTCGGTCAAAGTTAGGAGTCTGAGGTTTTTTGAGTTCTATACTGAAGTAATATCAAGTTAATTTACAGTCCACTATTTTTAAACAACGGAACGTACATATGTTTATGGTCCGTCAGCTACGGAGTCGCAGTAAATTTGGTGAGTCAGTGTGTTTTTTTATCTTTCTTATTAGATAATGGAATTTACAACGCTTAAGACTAAAAAGCGTGTAGCTAAAGCTAAGTTAAGTAAACTGAAAGAGAAAATTGCAGTGACTTACGATTCTGCTGATGTTGATCAGTTGGAACTTTTTAAATCTAGATTAAATGACTTAATGACCGAACTTTCGGATATTTTTAGTAACATATTTGTAGTGTGTGAAGAAAAAGATATTGATGTATTTATAGAAGAACAACAGGTCATACAAGATACTGTTGATGAGTTAATTTTAATGCTAACCAGAGTTAAGAATGTTAAAGACATTAGTGTGGAAACTAAATCTTGTGAAATAGCGAGTATACGCTTACCTAAGCTAACTCTTCCTGTATTTAGTGGCAGTACTGAAGAATGGTTATCATTTTTTGATTTATTTAAAACGGTGATAGTGGATAATGACCGTTTATCAGGTGCACAAAAGCTACAATATTTAAAGGGTTCTTTAAAGGGAGATGCTTTGCGGATTGTTCAAGCTTTAACTATTTGTGACAGGAATTTCGAAATAGCGTGGCATTTATTGTGTCAAAGATTTTCACATAAGAGAGAATTACTTTCATCGTTATTAAAGAAAATCTTGTATTTATCAAATTTACAATCTGAAATTCCTAGTCAGATATTAGCGTTAGTAGACACTGTAAGAGAGTGTGTATGTTCGTTTGAAAAATCTAGGCTTCAAAGTGGAGCAATTCGCGGATACTATTTTAATGTTAATAGTACAGTTTAAATTGGATTCTTCGACGAGAGGATGGTGGGAAAGAACATTAAAGAGTGAGGAAATACCAACACTTAATAATCTGCTAGACTTCTTGAAATCTCATGCCAGAACCTTGCAAGCAGGTAAAACGCAAGGTGTTAAAAAACAAGTTACAAAAGACAAATTAACTTCATTGGCTTCAGAGATTCGCGCGCAGTGTACGTATTGTAAAGCCGGTCATTCAGTTTTTAAATGTAATAAGTTTTTAAATTTGAATGTTCAGGACCGCGTTAATTTTGTCAAGAGAAATAATGTTTGTTTTAATTGTTTGGTTTCAAACCATAAAGCTTTCGAGTGTAGAAGTAAGTACACATAAATGTAAAAAGTGCTTTAAAAATCATCACACACTACTGCATTTCGAAAGAGTTCAAAATGAACCAAAGGCACGTAAAGGAGTTACGAACAGTTCGAATGAATTATCAGTGACGGCTAAGCCATTTTTCCCTGGGCCAGAACCTCGCGCTCAATCGGCTGGGTCAGGGAAGAATATCGCAAGTTCTAGTCCAGTAATTAAATCTTGTGTTTCAGACTTTAATTTTTCAGAGTGAAGTTTTATTATGTACGGCTGTTATTAAAGTGTTAGATTCATCGGGTGAATACCAATTGTGTAGAGCCCTCCTTGACCCTGGCAGTCAAGCAAGCCTGATTTCAGAAGATTGTGTACAAAGGCTAGGGTTAGCAAGAAGAAATGCCAAAGTTTTTATTTCATGTTTAGGGTCTTTGGATACGAAAACTAATGGGAATTACGGAAATAAACTTCGTTCCGCATTTTCCGGCGAAAGTGTCATTTAAAACACCAGTATTTATCATCAATAGAATTATTGGAACTTTGCCGCATTTTACATTGGATAAGAAGTACGTTGAGGAATATAATGATTTAATGTTAGCAGATCCAACATTTTACAAAAAGTGGGCCTGTTGATATACTTTTAGGCGTAGATATTGCCTTTACCTCTTTTAAAGGGAGAAATAATTAAATGCGAAGAAGGTAAACCGGTAGCTTCTCGTTCTGAACTAGGATGGATTATTTCAGGTAGTGTGAATAATTCAACAGAAATTAATCCTACTATCTATGTTAATAATATACAAGTGGAAACTGATCAGATGCTGTCTGACTTTTGGAAATTGGATGCTGTACCTACGTTTGACATGCTTACTAAATCGGAGAGAGCATGTGAAGATTATTTCAAATCTACATATACGAGACAGGAAAGTGGGGTATATACTGTGAAATTACCGTTTCACTCTCCGCCTTCTCAGCTTGGAGATTAGCTATGCGTAGATTCCAATCTTTAGAAAATTCACTTCTAAAAAGGCCTCAGATATATGAACAGTATAAGGATTTCATGAGGGAATACCTTGAGCTGAGACATATGGAGGGAGTGCCTGAGGGAGAGATTCTTATTGACTCTACGTATTACATGCCTCATCATGCCGTATTAAAGGAATCAAGTACTACGACTAAACTGAGAGTTGTTTTCGATGCTTCAGCTAAAACGACATCGGGTCTTTCATTGAATGATATTTTGATGGTTGGGCCAAGAGTTCAGCAAGAGCTGTTTCCAATTCTTCTACGGTTTAGAACTCACAAAATTGCAGTATGTGCCGATGTAGAGAAGATGTTCAGACAAATTCGTGTCCACCCAGAAGATACAAATTGGCAACGAATGCTTTGGAGGGATAGTCCTAGTGAGCCCTTGAGTACATTTAGATTAGTGACAGTTACATATGGGACTGCCTGTGCGCCATATTTGTCTACTAGAGTAATGAAACAACTTGCATTAGATGAACAAGTGAGATTTCCTTTAGCATCAAAAATTACCCTTCGTGATTTTTATGTTGATGATTTGTTTTCAGGGGCACAAAGTGAAGAGGAAGCGAATGTTCTAGTTCAGCAGTTGAATGAAATGATGAAAAGGGGTGGATTTCGCTTAAGGAAGTGGATTTCAAACAATTCAGCTATTTTAGAGAATATTCCCGAGTGCTTACGAGAATCCAGTACTTCTCTTGAAATAAACAGTGACAAGAAAGTAAAAGTATTGGGAATTAATTGGAACAACTCTAGTGATACGTTTCATTTTTCGGTATGCATAAGTGATAAAGAGTTTACCAAGAGGACTATTTTATCAGAAGTAGCCAAAATTTTTGATCCAATGGGATGGTTAGCGCCAACAATAATATACGCGAAAATATTATTACAAGAGTTATGGAACTTACAGCTGGGTTGGGATGAACTCGTTGATAAGAGAATAAGTAGGAAATGGAAGCGTTTCTATCTAGAATTGCCCTTACTTTCAAGCTTACAATTTCCGAGGTATGTCTTGAGTCCGAAGGCAGTAGTGATTGATATCCATGCTTTCTGCGACGCTTCAGAAAAGGCTTATTGTGCAGTCATCTATCTCCGTACAATCAACCTTGATTCGTCAGTCAAAGTCAGCCTTCTGACATCGAAAACCAGAGTAGCGCCCTTAAAAACCCAGTCTCTTCCGAGACTAGAGTTGTGTGCTGCGTTACTTTTAACCAACCTCTTACATGCAGTATTATCATGCATAGAACTGCCTATTAACAATATTTACGCATGGACCGACTCGCGGGTTACATTGGCATGGGTTTCGTCCGAACCTCGCCGTTGGCTACCTTTTGTGGCAAATCGAGTTGCAAAAAATCCAGGAAGCTGTTCCAGGTATTCAATGGAATTATGTTGCTGGGAAAGAAAAGAAAATCCTGCAGACTGTGGGACCAGAGGTTTTATTCCATCAGAATTCCTACAATGTGAGTTATGGATGAAGGGACCGCAGTGGTTTTAAACGAATCCCTAATTCATGTACAGCAAAATTCAAGTGTAGAATTAGAGGGTGAAGTTATGTTGAAGGAATTGAAAAAGAGTTTCAGTTCAAATGTTTCCAAATTTGAAGAGCCTAGTGTGTTTTCAAGATTTTCATCATGGTTAAAGTTATGTCGAGTGTTAGCGTGGTGTTTAAGATTCAGAAATAATTGTAGTAAGTTACCTACAGAGCGTATAAAGGGTTATTTATCTACTGAAGAATTCTGTGAAGTTACTTCTATGATTGTTAGGATTGTGTGCAAAGAGCCGAATTTCCAGAAGAATTATTCTGTTTAGACTCTGGTAAACCCTTGAAGACATCAAGTAAATTACTGTCTTTAAGTCCTTTCTTGGATTCCGCGGGAGTAATGCGTGTAGGCGGAAGGCTCAGAAACTCTACAGTTTCAAATAATCAGAAACATCCTATGATTTTACCTAAGAATCACAATGTTACGCGTTTAATTATTAAGCATTATCATGACACGTATCTTCACGCAGGTACGCAGCTACTCACTTCTGTCATACGACATAGATTTTGGATTGTGAATGCTAGAGATATTATAAGAAAGTGTATAAACCAATGTGTTATCTGCCGTAGAGTTAGAGCGCAAACTGCAACTCAGCTAATGGCAGATATACCCGCTTCAAGAGTTACTCAAAGTAGAGCTTTTTCTCGTGTAGGGATTGATTTAGCAGGACCATTTAACGTTAAATATCGTCCTGGTAGAGGAGTCAAAATCTTTAAGTGTTACGTATGTCTATTTATTTGTTTTACTACAAGAGCAATACACTTAGAAATAGTTGGAGATCTTTCAACAAAATCATTCCTCGCGACACTTGGTTTTAGCGTTTTGCTAAAACACTTGCGGTTTATAGCTCGTAGAGGCAAACCGTGTGAAATTCACAGTGATTGTGCAACGAATTTTATAGGAGCTAATAAAGAATTAAGGAAAGCCTTTTCTACTGTTCAACGTGATGAACAGCTACAGGGTTATATTTCTTCAGAAAATATTAAATGGTTGATTAATCCTCCCTCTGCTCCTCATTTTGGAGGGCTTTGGGAAGCGGGTATCAAGTCTATGAAACATCACTTAAAAAAGATGTTTAGGAACACTTATTTTAACATACGAGGAATTTTTGACATTAATAACCCAAATTGAATCCTGTCTTAATTCTAGGCCTTTAGTACCAGCTTCAAGTGATTGTAGCGACTTGGAGGCGATAACACCAGGACACTTTTTAACCGGAGCGGCTTTAAGCGCTATTCCAGAATCTAACCAAATTTAAGAAACCATGAGCTGCAGTGACCGTTGGAGGAACGTGCAAAGGTTATTTCAACATTTCTGGAATCGTTGGAGCAGTGAGTATTTATCTAGATTGCAGCAGAGACCCAAGTGGTGCACGTTACAACAAGATCTGAAGATTGGTGATATGGTTCTTATTAAGAACGAAAATCTACCTCCGCTACGTTGGAAATTAGGTAGAATTATTGTATCCTGTGTGTATCCTGGTCTGGATGAGAAAGTTCGAGTGGTGAGTTTACGCACGTCTAATGGTGAAATAAAACGACCTATAGCAAAGCTATGCGCTTTGCCATTTAATTCCTGATTTAGAGACTTTAATTTTTATTTTTCAGGTTTATGCAGTTCAACAGTTTAAATTTATTGTTTGAACCCCCTTGGGACTTCAAGGCTGGGGGTATGTTCGATGTTATGCAAATTGTATTTCTTTCTTTGTACCGAGGAGCGGCGCAGACGCAAATTTGTTAGGTTTTTAAAGCTCGCGGAGAGCTTTGAGGTTGCTGTGAATTACTGGAGTTTCAACTAAGCAGAGGTTCTTCTGAGTTTGTGTTGGTAAGCCGCTACTGAGTTCGGAGTTGGCAGTGTGGTCTTCGCCGTTCCTCAACTAACTTACTAATTTGAAAGTCAATAAAGAAGTTTCGGTCAACGTTAGGAGTCTGAGGTTTTTTGAGTTCTATACTGAAGTAATATCAAGTTAATTTACAGTCCACTATTTTTAAACAACGGAACGTACAATGATAATCAAGTTCTTGCCTTACATACGTGGCAGTTTTTCTTTTTTAATTATCATTTTAACAGTGATGAGATTTTGAAAATCACGCAGAGCAGAGATTCCCGATTTAATGGCACTCGCACGCATGACGCTAGCGCACAAGAAACATTCATTGGTGTATAAGTAATAGTAGTATTTATAATTCAGTAACAGCATCACACTCTTGATTATCTTTTGATGACCTGAAACAGTGACTTGGCATATAAATATGCTTCGCAAAATTTTAAGCTACTGGAGTGCACAAATATAGATTTTAACAGAATGTTTATGTTGTGTATGTGTTAACGTGTAAAGAATGATAAATACCTTAAGGAGTAGATACCTTTAAACTATCAAAATATCCCCAAAATGCAATACATTTTAACGCCCAATAACTTTGTAACTGCTTTATGAGCACGAAACTTTGTATACTTATTTTATATACTTATTATATTTGTGTTCTTGTTTTACTTTATCAATAATGTACTTGCTACGTTTATTTTATCTCTGAAATATTAAAATACTCTTTTTTGGCTTCCACTTAATATTCGAATACGTACTGCGCGCGCGCAGCATCATGTAGCTGATTTTTTTTCAAAGTAGAAAATTAATAGAGAATTAAAAAGACCTGTGTTAAAAATAGGAGAATTACATTTTCTTAAAAAATATTTTTCTGTTTATTTATTATTTGTTCTATTTTCATAGCTTCGAAATCCGTTATTTTTTAACGCAGTTAATGATAATTTCTAAAATTTTTAGGCGAGAAACATAGCAGTCGTTCCTTTTAAACTCACTTATGGTTTTTACAGTTGGTAAACTTTAAAAAAAAATTTCTAAGCAATATTTCGCAGAAACCGTGCATGCAGGCAAGAAATTTATTCTCTCTACCGAGAAATCTACCGTTACAGCAGGAATAGACACTGCTTAAGAAAAACCACGTAAGTAAATCATAAGGCTCATTGATTGTTTCCAGACTGGCCGTTGTTGTCCGTAACTGGTTATACCTGATTTTATATTTCCGCAGGGAATTTATATGCACAGATATCGCTACTTTCTCGTTCGCTTTTACTTCTTTTGGGTATAAATACAAGCATGGTTTTCTCTTCTCCACAGTTTTCTTTGCTTCTGATGAAGAGGAACCTTTACCTCGAAGTCGAAAACCTTGACTAAAATGTACCCCAAACACAAGGTTATTGCTTTGTCATGTTGTTCTTCTGTCTTAAACAGTTGGACGGACAATCACTGTACCGTATGGTTAATCATTAGGAAAGAAACAGTTACTAGGTTGGACGGACAATCACTGTACCGTATGGTTAATCATTAGGAAAGAAACAGTTACTAGGTTGGACGGACAATCACTGTACCGTATGGTTAATCATTAGGAAAGAAACAGTTACTAGGTTGGACGGACAATCACTGTACCGTATGGTTAATCATTAGGAAAGAAACAGTTACTAGGTTGGACGGACAATCACTGTACCGTATGGTTACATTAGGGTTACTAGGTTGGACGGACAATCACCGTATGGTTACATTAGGAAGAAACAGTTACAGGTTGGACGGCACTGTACCGTATGGTTAATCATTAGGAAAGAAACAGTTACTAGGTTGGACGGACAATCACTGTACCGTATGGTTAATCATTAGGAAAGAAACAGTTACTAGGTTGGACGGACAATCACTGTACCGTATGGTTAATCATTAGGAAAGAAACAGTTACTAGGTTGGACGGACAATCACTGTACCGTATGGTTAATCATTAGGAAAGAAACAGTTACTAGGTTGGACGGACAATCACTGTACCGTATGGTTAATCATTAGGAAAGAAACAGTTACTAGGTTGGACGGACAATCACTGTACCGTATGGTTTCATTAGGAAAGAAACAGTTACTAGTTGGACGGACAATCACTGTACCGTATGGTTAATCATTAGGAAAGAAAAACAGTTACTAGGTTGGACGGATCAGTACCGTATGGTTATCATTAGGAAAGAAACAGTTACTAGGTTGGACGGACAATCACTGTACCGTATGGTTAATCATTAGGAAAGAAACAGTTACTAGGTTGGACGGACAATCACTGTACCGTATGGTTAATCATTAGGAAAGAAACAGTTACTAGGTTGGACGGACAATCACTGTACCGTATGGTTAATCATTAGGAAAGCATTTTCTTTCCTACTGATTAGCCATGTGGTACAATGAATATTCAGAACATCTCTGCTGTCATATATCGTTAAGTGAACTGCTGTACTTTACTTAGTACCTTCGTACTGATAGCGACTGAGCCATCAAATAGGGTCATTTATAGCATTATAACAACTGGTCTTCATTTACTGAGCCATTTTTAAAGCCTTTTTAAAAAGAGTCAAATAATATCTATAAGTAATATCTAACACCATGCTATGCAATCTAATATTATGTTACATAACTTGTTGCTTCGTGTATTAAGTATTTTCTGTTTCTCCACATTTACTCTTATTTGATGTATGTTCTTTTCTTATAGGCCGCCCCTGACTCTAACGGAGAGAGAATATAGTCGACCGCCGAGTTACAGGTCTCGAGCCAGTTCTGCGGGAGTCTTGAGGCCGAGTACCGAAACCCTCTGCTCCTTGAGCACTCAACAGCAGCAGCAACAGCAGCCACCCCTGGCTTCTAGTCATAGTCGGAACCCTTCTCTAAGTCTCAGCTTCCTGTCTCACGAATCTCTCTTTCTGGACTCAGGCCATTCTAGGCCCACGGTCCAGGACCCAGTCCACTTCACCAGTCCGAGTGGGGAGTCCCAGAACTCGGTGGTGGCCGGCCTCAGCGATGACAGCCCTCCTTCACGTGACGGAGGCTCTTCAACATGGGGACGGGGCAGCTCCTGGAAGCCCCACCTTCATGACGTCAATGCGGTGACCATCGTCCAGACGACGGACTCTTCCCAAGTGCTCAACAGGGACACTGTGATACTCACCGTCCCTGGCCGGGAGGTCCCAGAAAACCCCTCTACCTCAGTGGGGGAAGTGAGGATCTTGGCTCACGTCTGAGGATGAACACTCGCTCCCGTTTGCTGGGAGAGGACATAAGATTTCGTCTCAAGGGCACATGTGCCTCAAATTGTTTATGGATTCTAGCAATACCATCGAAGAGCTATAGCGGCAGGGGAGGTTCCTCGGACCTGTGTCGTAACAGCTGTAGACGGAATTCATTTTTTAAAAATAAATTCACGCCAAAGAACATACGTCGGAATGAAGTGCTAAAGTGTGTAAAAAGTTTTAAAACAGGCTTTGATAATTGCTATACAAATAAATGATGAAACTAACTGCTGGATAATGAACCCGTTTTCTTCATCGATGACTCTGGAAAATATTTTACCTGGAACCTAAATATCTGTTTGTTGCGGTTAATGGTTTTAATAACTAAAAAATGATTATTTAAATCTCCACACTCAGTTAATTCAGTTCAAACAATGCAGTTGATAATTCATGGATTACTTTTTAAACCCCTTTCTTGTTCGGCATTTTTTGGGTTCCTCCTTATTTTTTCCTTGTGTGGTGTTCTCCTCTATCCCGAGTTTTTATTTTAATACTTAACCAATATTCAACCACTTCACCGATTCCTCGAGACAGATTCGTTGATTTGAAAACTATCGTGAGGCGTCAGCAACGAGACACACTCGTTTAAGTTAAATATGGACTGCATCGTTACTCTCGAGAGAGACATGTCGCTGCGTGCTTTCCAACCCCCAGAATGCCACGAAAATGAAAAGAGGAGATTTGTGACATAATTGGTCACCTTCTTTCCAGCGCGGGATTGTATCAAGATCATGCAAAGCAAAGTTCACTTAAAAAGTTCGGAAATGGGAAGTTCCTACCACCCTTTTTCAGCTGGCATTGCAGTTGGAACTAATGCTCGTTCGAAAGCATGTCTGTAGGGAATCGGCTTTCTTGATTTTAAGATGAGAGATTAGGAAACACAAAATAATTTTTCTGGTAGGTATTGTGATGCTATTCAACATCTTTGAGTCTGACAGGTAGTTCAAGTTCATTTGGCGTGAAATTTCAAATAGGTTTCGGCAGCTGGTGAAGGGGGGAAGTAATATTTTTATCTTGAACCAAAGTCAATTGTAACGGCAAAAGTTTATCTTTATTTTAAAAAAAAGTAGCAAATATTTGAGTTTTGTAGGACGGTAAAGTGGTTAATGAATTAGTTCTATAATGAGAAGGTAAAATTATATATTTTCTGTCTGAAAATTTGTCTCGAAATTTTTTACTCACTCTAATTAATTATTCATTGGTTTACAAACGGAAAATAAAAAGAATCATTTTTATAATTTTCATAACTTTTATTGCTTCAATAGCACTTTTTTCCCTGAAATTGTGGTTGTCAGCACAAATTCAGCCAGCACAACACGCCAATTATTTTTAATAATTCTGTTTATTAAACAGGATATCGGTGGAGGCTCTTTTTATGATTTTACTTCTCTCTGTATTTTATAGTTTTTAAGAAATAGAGACTAAAAAATAATAAACGTGAAGATTTTAATTTTTTAAAAGTAATAATCACAAAGAAATTTTTATAACATGAAATGGTTAATCTCACTAAAACAAGTACTGTATTTCCCCCCGTATCATTGCCTTGCCTTGACTGGAAAATATTATTGACACTGCATTCAAATATTTCTAAATCTTCCAAAACTTCTTTCTAAGAACACATGGTTAAATATATGCATCGCATTAAAAATGGAGTATATTCAATAAAACCTATAAATTCTATGTATTATTTAATTTTTCTTTTTTTTCCTCCGAATTTCATATTTTATTTGAAGTTTCATAGACAGATATTAAGCTGTAAAGAAAGTAAGTGTGTACTTGAAAGCACAATATAAATAACTGTTTTCTTTCCGAATAACTTGAGTGAAAGAAAAATAGAATATCGAAACATGTAAAAAACTTATTGTTCTCTCTAAAAAAGAAAGTTTAAATTTTCGGTGAAATCGGTTTAAAAATCGCAGTTTCTTTCTTTCTTTCTTTTTTTTTAAACGAAAACTTCTTTAATTTTTTCTGTTGAAATTTCATTCTTCATCTTTTATTTGTAAAATGTACAACGAGGCAAGAAAATAGTTTTAAAAAAATAGTTCGGTTAGCTTTCGAAATTATACATCGCAAAAGAGAAGTTTTGAATATTCATTTGTATAATTAAAAAAAATCTTAAAAAATTTAATATGATTCAGATGTACTTTTTGTACTGATCAGATTTTTCTTAATTCCGAGTTTTTTATTTTATTTATTTTTTTTATTTAGCTGATAGATAGGTTTTATCTTCTCATTATTGCCAATCCGCAGGGAACAAATACTTCTCCTGTTTTTCATTTATAATTCTAAGGAAAGTTAGAAAAGAGAATTTCGTCATTCTTCAGTTAGAAAATGAAAGTGCATTTTTTTTTTTTTTTTCTTTTCCAATATTCGCACAAGTATGGGCAACTGTTTTCTGTTATTTTCGTTACCATGTAGTCAAAGTATGATCGAAAACATTATGTAAAATTGAAGTAGTAAATTATTTAAAAAAATTAACCAGAGTTGACTACATTTTTATTACCATCTGCCGTAAGGAAATTTTTTTACATATTTTTGCAAACTAAATGCCAAAGGAAACTTTCTGTTTTAAGATTCTTGTTAATTTATGAATGCTAAAATTTTATTGGAAAATAATAACTTTTTTAAACTACAGTTACTAACTTGAAAACTGTATTTTTGATTTACGAGATAAATTTTGTTTTCTGTAATTGAAATTTTATATTGTAAATATTACTTGCATGATGTCTGTTTGTGTGCAATGACAAAATCGTAAGATACTTTAAATTTCATATTTTACTTTCAATTAAATTCTGTATTTTATATTTCGTTTTCTGTAGAAAATGTCTGACTTTTTATTTGATGTTTATGTAAAATTATAGATTTCTGTTCTATGCTTCGAAAATTTATTAGTATTTTTATATCAAAATCTAAGATGAAATTAAAATTGGACAAATATATTACAGTCATTGTAATATTTCTCTGCAATATACTATTAAATATATTTATTTATTATATAGAGAAACTATTCTATGATACTTTTATAAACAGGCTTAGAGGAAGACTAGTGTATAAATAAGTTTATACGCCAAATTCAGTTGTGATTGAATTTATTTAAATGTTTATGTCTGTGTCTAGCTTATTTGGCTTGTGTTGTTTGTAAACATATCAAATGACTGTTGTTAATTCGCAAATTTTATTGACCTTGCAATTAAAAAATGTCTAATTTTTTATGTTTTATAAATTTGCCTTGAACGTATTACAATCGGATTTATTATACTCAGCTTTAAATTTATTTATGAAATACAGGTATCCCTCCTATAACACGGTAGATAGTTCCAAGGAAATATCATGTTGTGTGAAACCGTGTTATATGAGACAAGCAGTCAATACAAAAAAGAGGGAAAATATTTTTTTAATGGTTCTCACCATTGCCTCATTTAAAATGAGCTCTTTTACAATTTGAGATGTCTCTTGTTTTTGCAAATGATTCGAAACTTGTATTTTTATCTCCAAAGAAATATATATATATATATTTTCAAAGAGAGAAACCGTGTTGTAAGAGGGATACCTTTGTGTAAAATCAAAACATTAATTATCTTTCATTTAGTTCAAAAATATATATGAGTATGGCTTTATTTTTAAAATGTTTTATTTATATTTTTTTATGTAGAGTACTAAATAAAGAATTATTCCTATTAAAGTCATGCTGAGAAAACATGCTGGACTATGCAAAATAATAGTACATTTCTTCGTTTCAAAAAACGAGATAGCTAAAAAATGTAGCACATCTGAATTTTTGTAAGCTGTAAAAAGTGTAAATTAAATTCTCTGACATCTGAAACTCTTGACAAGTATATAAACTTTATTTTTAATGACATAAAAAGTAACACAATTTTCCTATTTGTATTATAGTCGCCATTTGTATAATATTCATTCTTTTGTTATTGTAAATATTATAATTTAGATATGAATCTGCCGGAATGTTTGGAATTTTAGACAAGAAATGTTGTTGTGGGAAATTTGCGTTGCACAATATAGAAATAACGCCTTTTTAACGCATAAATCACGGATTTTCATTCATGCAGTATAATTCCGAAAGTTATGTTAAAATTATACTTCGAATGTTGAATATCTTGTGTTGCATATGACGCTGCTCAAGAAAGATATCACTAAAATCGCTCGCTTCAGAGACAGCTGTTTTTGACCCCATCTGTTTCGTGATTAAGCTACGTCTCGAAAGTTCGTGAGTTTTTATATTCGATACAGCAGCATCAACCAAAGAACAGAGACTTTTGCTGGCGTCTTTTATTGGGAAACATTGCCGTTAATATGTACATCTAGCTATAAACATGTAAGGATGCTCATCTGTCCGCCTTGTTGGATGAATCGAAGTGTTTTGGCGAGGTACCAGAGAGTACTGTGATTAGACTATAGATAAAAAATTATGACAGCATATAATAGTTACAGAAGAGGTTTGAAACATAGAATTAGCTGCATTTACTAAAGATTATGAATAGTTGATATATTTTGGAACTGAACAATAAATATAATGTTCTAAATTCGGAAAACTAAACGGAATTATACTGTAATGAATTTTTTCCCCAATTTTTCCATATTTCATTAAAATTTGACGTAATTATCTGCACTCAATGAACTGCTTTCCGAATATACTATAACAGTGGTGGCGAACCTTTATGGCGCCGCGTGCTCAAAACCTTTTTTTCGGGAGGGGGGGAGGAGCAGCGTGCCCCAAAACTCTTTGATTAAATCCCCATTGGAGAGCGGTGTACCATGTTTTGCCAGTCACAGTGAAATTTGAAAGCTGGCCGTTGTTAGATGGTTTGTTTTAGAAAGATAATTGCAAAAACCAACTTTCTGGTAATTATAATTCCTCAATTTCCCTCCAATAAAGACATTTATCTTGTGGTTGGTGTTAATAGAGTCGTAGCTAGGGTTTTCAGCGCCCAGGGACAACTGAAAATTTCGCGCCCCCTACTGCTTGCCAAGGATGGAAAACATTTAATTCTAAAATGTCGTAACATCAGTTTGGCGCCCCTTGGATTCTGCGCCCGGGGACAGTTGCCCCCCTCTAGCTACGCCCCTGGGTGTTAAAGCCTAGGCTTAGGCCCTATGCCAGTGGCATTATGCGATAAGTAAGTAAAAGTTCAAGAACAGACTAAAACACTTATTTAAATTACATAGTATCATTTTATTGTTATTATTGACTAAGGAAGTAATATTTTATATCTGCGTGCCAACTGTCGCACGCGTGCCGAGTGTGGTACGCGTGCCATATCGCCATCACTGTTCTATAATAACATTATTAATTAAGCTAAGATAATAACGTATTTTTTATAATAAATGCATATATGTACATGCATATATATATACACACACACATATGTATGTAAGAAGTAATAGCTTTTCAAAAATGTACTCTTGTTACAAATATAATAATGATTTTTATTTTGTAACCGAAAAATATTTCATTTAGCACGAGAAATTATTGTGTTCTTGTTCGTTTAAATTATTAGATTTAATGCTTACCGACAACCATTGTAATAAAATAAGGTTTCGAAAATTTTCAATAAAACAATTCTTTGATTTTCGAACTCTTACTCCATGATTCATAAATATTTCTTCACTTCCATAATCTAAATCACTTTTGATGCTTTGTTTTAATATTTATTTATTAAATTACAGATTTTTTTTGTTATTAATATTAAAAATTTTCGTATTTTTTCTTAAGAATAGAATAATAAATAATCAAGTAATTATAGGTTTAAAAATATTGGAATTTATCATATGGAAGTAAATTTTATCAGTACATGAACTAATTTACGTGTGTGTGTGTGTGTATATTTATATATACATGAATTTGTATAGATGTTATGAAAGCTATGCTATTTCTGTTCAAGTCAAACTTACATAACGTGTTCCACTGATATTTTCGGAGAGTTCTTAATTTACTTTTCAATCATAAATTGGAAATATTGGTGTCGATGTTGAAACAAAGATTTAAACTGGTATTTTTCTTTCTTGCAAAAGTCATTGATTTCAAAACAATTATGCACATTCTATGCAATTACTAACACATTTTCCAATTTATGAAATTTTTAGCAATTGTATAGTGGACATAACAAGCGTTTTCAAATTTATAAATTGCACAAAACTATAATAAGGGAAGATTGCTTATTTAATTACTCCATGCTTTATAAAGTTAAACCAATGATAAAGGAGAAAAATTTCCCTAATCAATAGTATGTTTTTTTATTTTGGTACGATGTAAAGTAATATTCTAGTTTAGTATAGTATATGGGGGTTTAGATTTTTATTCTAAATTTTCATTTGTTATTATTAATTTATTGAAAAATTTTTTCGATGTATTAATTGATCCAAAAATGAATCACAAATTATGTTCAAAAAATTGATGAAATTTCTATGGTTGAATTATGCGAGCAGTTTTTAAAAAATATGCAATAATTCATTCATTCTTTTGCACTGTAATAAAATTTGTTTTATTATCTCTCTCTAATCAATTTTATTTAATAATTTTGTTTAAATATTTTAAGTATAAGATGTGTTTGTCATAATCTTGTTTACGTTTGAGGCAAAAAGACTTCATAAAATAACAAGTTCCATAATGTTTGGACGAGAATCATCTGCTTGTGATTTAGCAGGATTACTTACAACTTACATTGATGAATTGAGCTTCTTGAGTATATTTTACTGTATAATACACGCTTATTGTGCTCGATCACGTGTATGTACATGACTTTCTGTAAAAAACCAGAATAAAACATTTTATTGTTTACATCCTAAGTGCATATTTATTTTTTTTTTTTTACTCGCACATACTTTACATAAACTTGCACATGCCCGCCCACCAAAAAAAATCTGCGTTTTTTAAGAACTTTACTATTGACCAATATTAAAAGCAGTGAAACATTTATTACAAAACTATATGGCAGTTACGTAATATTGTGACGTAACAACACACTCATAACACCTGCGCTTTCTTTTGATGTAAGCCGACTCATTCCCGGTAAGCCACTTTTTATTGATCAAGGATATAAACTAACTGTTATTGCTATATTTTTCTTGCATTTTTTTAAAAAAAAGTGATTAAAATTTGGGATCTTTCTTCTACAGAACAGCAAGTAATAGATTTCAAAGTTATGAAATCCTACCCTTAAGAGGGTGGAAACGTGTATATTAATTGACACTATATGGTCAGCTGAATATGAGCAAAGAAAGAGCAGTAGAATGAAATAATTACCCAAGGAAAGTTTGTATTCATAGAATTGTAAATAGAACAACTGGAAGGCGTAACAAAATATCATATTTCCTAGAATACTTTCACCCTTATGGGCAAAACCGCTTTTTGCGGGATCGGATCAGAACCGTTCTGCCAATGAAATAAATCGATTCTTTTTTACGACTCACCGTTCACTAACAATAACTTGATAAAAAAGATCCGGAACAATGAGTGAATCAAGAGCAGAAGGAATCGAAGGGCAGCTAGATGGGAACCGGTTCGCGAGGTCGGAGCGAAAAGAAGGCTCAGGTGCTGGGCACTTCATCAGGCTCCTAGGCTGGGACAGCCATATCCTGTGCATAATTCATTTTGGATAAGCATGTCTTTCCTGGCATAACATGTTGGAGAGGATAATAGAGGAAGAATATTCCTCAAGAGAGTTCAGTGATTGTTGAGTCATGGCATAAGTAAGTGATAAGCAATTGACGGTATTAAATTTTGAGCCTTGCGTATTCACAACTCGTAGGGTCAGAACGTCCGTCAGGAGAGATAGGCGTAGCAGTCACAGCTTCGACGTCCGGCGCTCAAATGAGTGAGAAACGGGTAGCAGGGCAGGTCCATGGTAGAGTGGGAGGAGCTACTGGTCATGCGATCCAATGGGAGTCCTGGAAAGAGAGTGCATTTCCTTGCTCGACAGGCATTGGTGGGGAAAATTTTTAAAGTTAAAAACTTCGTTTAAATCCTGGGTACGTTAATATGATGAAATAAAAAAGAGAGTTGTCTAGATACTATACAATAACATTAAGTAACGGGATTCTGGACTGAAATAAGTTGGCCTAATTTTAATGAGTTCTGAACTAAGTATAAAAATAGGATAAATTGGACATATCAAGTGATGGTGTGATGCATTATTGGTTCCTATTCTGTATGACAGATGGCGCGTGTGCTTTTGAGAATTGCATGTATGGTGAGGGAATGCAAACATAACATAGCTATTGAAATGCAAAATTTAGTAATTAAAGCAGTAGATAGATTAAATTAAGTGCCGGAGAACTGCTCCGGGTCTTTTTTTATTAGCTTCGCTATTGTAATCATAATTTAGTCTTGGGATGGAACTGTTGTTAATCTTTTCTATGTTGTTGAAGAATTTCCGTGCTATTTTTGCTATGTGTATGCTAATACTTTCAATATTTAATTCATTCTGGATAGCCTCGTTTCTGAAGAACCAGGGACTGTTGGATATAATCCTCAGCACGACATTTTGACTTTGCTGAATTTTAAGCATGTGGGTTTTGCACACATAACCCCAGACTGGGCAGGCATAGGTGATAATGGGTCGCAACATGGATCTATATACATGAAGTTTATTTTGTATAGATAAAAACGGAGTTTCGGGCAATTAGGGGGTTGAGTAAGGCTTTAGTACCCCGAAACTTGTTCAAAACAAATGTTATGTGTGGGGCCCAAGTGAGTTTTTGGTCTAAAATGACTCCGAGATATTTGGCTTGCTTGGCCCAGGGAATACTGATGTCATACATTTTGAGGGTGTGATACTTAAGTCGAAGATCCTTTTCTTCGTGAAATAGACAGCTTCCGACTTTTCAACATTGATCTTGATTTTCCACTTAATCATCCAGGACTCTAGTGCATGGATGTGTTCTTGTAGTGCCTGTACGACTGCGGCCATAGACGCAGCTTGATATAGGATCGCGGTGTCGTCTGCATAGAGTGCTAGTGTTGTGAGGGATGTCGTTCGTATAAATAGAAAATAGTGTGGGCGAAAGCAAACTTCCTTGCGGTAAGCCCGCAAGGGTTACTTTCCGTGTAGAGTGAGAGCGAAAAGAATTGACTCAGTCAGACGCTGATTCCCTGGAATGATTTCTTTAATCTGTCGTTTTGAAGTTCTCTAAAACTTCCTTTCTATACAGAACTGACAAAAATTTTTCAAAAAGTTGGGAAATGTTGAAAATTTAAACCGCTTTTTAAGATGGGAAAATAAGCATTCCTTTCTTCCCTTAAATGGATATCGAACTCTCCTGGCACGTGTCCATCATGAGCTCCGTCCTTTTTTTCACCGATAATCTTGCTGAGTAAAATGAATCAGTTTCTGAGAGAATAGCAGATATCTGTTCCTGCTATGCTTCCACCATGAGCTCTCCGTGAACTGTTAAAGAGCTACAACACCGTTTTCTGGAATCAGAGTAAATTCTCTCAGTAAAGTGAATCAGATCGTTCAAATCCCGACAATTGTGCTAGCTGTATGGGAGTTTTCGGTGTCCCCCCCCATCTGTAATGTGAATTCCAGGCAGTTTCCCTTAGAACGTCTTGCAAGTGTTTAAAGCAACTTTTAAAATGGCGAGACATAAATAAAGACACACGAAAAAAATTAAAATGATTTATTTTATGTATAATACAACAGTTATTAATAAATACATGAACTGTCTGCAGAACATTAGTTCTAAATGAAGTTGTATAAACTAAAAACACACATATCAACATTAAGATTTATTTGATGTTGATAATAACAATTGAGCAGATATTTTGTTTTTCTCAGTTAATACTATACAATGCTGATGAACAACACAAACATGCACTGAAAGTGATTCGTTATAATCAGAAAACGTTTCACATATCTAACTGACGCAGTTCGATACAGTATAAAAAAATGAAAATTTTGTAAAGGCACAGAGGTGGAAAAAAAATATCGAGAAATGTATAAACCTAGAATTTTCTTTTCTTTTCCAACTATACAAAAACTCAAGTCGCAAAGCGCCACCATGAAATCTGACGTCACTTCTGTTTAACAGACCTTTGGGTTAAAATAGAACGGGAACGTCTAGCTTTTACATACCCTATTTTTACAAATCAGCGGTCTTGCAATAAATTAATCGTTTGGCGCCATTTTGCCTCCATGTCACATTTTAATGATTGGCACAGCATTTCACTCTTGTTCCAATCAGGTCAAATAGCTTTCACAGAAAAGCTTCTAAATATTCTACGACTAATACAAGTTTGTCATTTTATATCCTCACAAAAGATTATATTTTAGTATTGCTTGCTTTTAAAGTTTAAAGGGATATTTCTCGTTATATGATACCACGTGCCAAACAATTTTCTACAGAAAGATAGTTGAGTTAACGTTACCTGTTGACCACAGTTAAATTAAATGCTTTGTTCCTAACTGCCATATTGTATTTTGTTTATTGAAACAATTAAATTACTTCGGCAAATGACACTGACCTTCGTCTCTCGCGTAGATAATTCGATAGCCCCCTGTGATGCACTCTGGGCCACGTTTTTAATGATGAGACGGGTGAATGACCGATTTGTTTGGCCGTCTTGTCATAATCAAATAAACCAAATTCAACTAATAAACTGTCCGGGCTTTGAGGGCGAAGGTGAATTTCTATTTATTCAAATTAGAACTTTCTATTAGTTTCATTGACCATTTTAAACGATTTTTAATAATAATAATAAAAACGATATTCATTTCATTGCAGGTGTACCGAAATTCGACCTGCATCCGGCGGCATGTAGATTTCAATTTAAAAAAAAAAAATTACCTCTCCTCTTTCCATATATATGTGTATTCAGCGGACAGGTCTGAATAAAAAAAATTAAAAAAAACAACAACTTTATTTTAAGGTTAGGCAGCTGACGTCACACACATGGCAACTCTAAGCGCAAAAGAGCAACCCTCGCAGTAGAGTATAGCAATCTCGGACATGAGTAATTTAATATTCATTGAAAATATGGCGATGTGTTCAAGTGTTTTCCATTGGGCTTTCATTTATTTATTCAGTTTCTTTCGTATATGTATTCTCATAAACTGAAATACTATTAAAATTGTTTTGTAAATACCTTTTCACGAATAAGGCCGAAGCCAGTTGGCACAATGAAATATACTAAGAATTAATATGTCCAAAGACTGATATTTTTTAACAAAAGTTCTATAGCACATTGCGTTTATAACAGTACTTTTGTAACAGATTTAATAAACTTAGGTTTTTGCAAAAGTGTGCATTATTATTATGCATATAATATTTAAAAAATCGAGATTTTTATCTTCTAATAAAAATTTAAAAATTCTTTGAAGTTAAAATCATTTAAAAATAAAATAATAAAATAGTTTTTTGATTATGCATAATAATGGAATGCAGATTCTCATCTTAAAAATTAATTCCCGTTAAATATTAAACACATCTTTAAACATTACATGATGGTATCTAATATATACTGATATCTTATTTTATGTATTTTGACGTTTAATTTCAGATACATATTTTATTCGTAGCATCTGTAAAGTCTTTACATCTAAAATGCTTAACTTCTTCTCAGATACGATATTCTATCATTAATTTGAAATTTTAGATCATAGTACGTTCTAAATTATAAGAATAAGCATGATAGTTTGGAAAAGATATAAAACGTTTTTGAAGTGTTGTGAGGTAGGTACATACAAAATTCTTCTCCCACAAGAACATATACGAATAATAATAAAAAAAAAAAAAAAAAAAAAAAAAAAAAGAAAAATGCTTGTACATAAAATAGAAGTAAAATATACGCTTTTATACTCAGCCGTAAATATACACTAACAAATAGGATAACTTCATAGTTTCTTAAAAATGTACATTAGAAAATTTCAAATATTTTATTTAGAAAAAATATGTGCTGGGTGAAAAACAAGTGAGATTCACCAGGAAAACATTGTATAGAACAGTTTCAACACATCATAAAGTAAACTTTGGACAAATTCATTTCGATGCAATTCCATTCATTCAGAAACAAAACAGTGTCTTCGAACAAAGACATAATCCATAGGAAATTGTACACAGCATATAAGATGTTAAAATTCATAAATATTTTCATGAATTCAACGTTTGAAAGTTCAGTAAATTATGAACATCATGGAAAAATACAAAATTTCTGACTACTTTCCTTCGGTCATATTTAAAATGAATCTAATGAACAAAAATTTCAAAACATTTGGGAAATAAAGATAAGCATTTTAATAAAGGATATTTATGTATTAGTGCAACCACCTTGGCGCAATTTGGCGACTTTTTTAAAAGACGAAAAAAGACTAACGACTTAATTTTAATGAATTACCTATTACATACAAATATACCATTTCGAATATTATAATTCACCTAAAAATGAATGAGTAAACCTACTTACAAACGGGTTCTTGTTTCTTCTGTTCTTGGTAGAAATTTCGTAACAATCGTTAAAGATAAAACAATCGTTCTATTTGGCGATTATATAGCAAAATACTGCTTTCCTCCAGAAATTTTAACATTAATTCTTTCAGTACAGACAAATCTTACTAAAACATATTCTAATTTGATTTTCATAAAAAATACATCACAGTTTGTCTATAAAAATTGTCGAAACTTGGAACAAGAATGCCATAACTCATACGAAATACGTTACTTGCTAAAACCAAAGTCTGGTTGCCGTACGGTTGCCGTTACGCTCCAGGTTGCCAGATTTCGGCAATTTCTGCTAAGGTGGTTGTGCTAATACGAAAGCATCAATAAGAATAATAAACAGTTACATACTTATGGAAAATAATTAAAAGATTTTTGATAAATAAGAGAAAAGGCGTAAACAGAATTTTGACAATTTTACATAAAAGTTTCTTTTCCTGAGTTCATTTAAAAACTTTGCACATAATTTTAAGATTTGCTCCTAAGTCGATTTTGATATAGTAACAGTTAAATTGGATATTTCTATTTTAAATAATAAACTAAATGCAGAGTATCAAGTAAAATACTACATGAGCTTTAACAAACGTACCGAAACTGTGTATAAAAACAGTATGAAATAACCAAATATAGCACGAGCAAATAATATCTTACTCAATAATGACATTTGTACTAATGATTAAAAAGAAAAAAAAAAAAAAAAATGAAGGGGGGACTTTGCAACCACTGAATGAGTACCCGATGATGAGAGAAAATATTTCCTTTTGTTCTACAAAAGATATGTGTATCCAAACACAGATGACTGTGAAACCCTGAGTTATCATGAAAATGGATGAAATATAAGATTACCAACATAAGCAGCTGATAGCATCTATCTCCAAATGGTTCGCCTTTTTGTATTTTTTAATGCTTTTTTACACCAATTAATTTGTTACGATTCCTCAATCCTCTCCTTAATAATTTTTTTTTAATGCTAAAACAGAAATCATATGACAGTTCTGTTCACAATAACAAATAATAAGCTGCTGTTTTTTTAAATTATAATCTAATTTATAATAAAAATTACTCGCACTTTTCTAAATCTCTCATATATTCTTTCATGACGAAACATTAATTGTGCTTCAATAATTACTAAAACATACCTGAGATGTTATTTTCAAAGCTAAAAGTAGCTTAAATGTTCTACTTCTCCGAAAATAAACAATACAAACAGAGATAGAAAGCGCCACCTAGCTTAAACGGCAGTAAAGAATTTTATTTTCACATATTCGATGCTTAATTAGGATGTGAATTTGTCTTTTAAATGAAGAAAAATCAGTTCAGGTTCTGTTGACGATGGTGTCTGTTATTTTAAAACAATTATTGAGTTCAAAAGCTAACTTATTTTCTTTATGAACAAAATAATAATTTTTATTCTTCTCTTCTGGTTCTTGCCGTATATAAATAATAAAGCGCCACCTCGTATGAGGTCAGTAAGCTCTTAAGAACTTTTATTACATTCAATCTATGTTCAGATATTACTTCGTTATGTGGTTCAAGTTCTGTTGATGAATGATGTTTGTCATTTTATAACAATTCAAGAGCTAAATTCCTTTATTGAGGTAAAATAATCCTTCTTTTGATACTTGAAAGTATAGCACGAATAACGAGAACAGTAAGAGCTTTTTTGTGCACTCTTTGATTGCGAAACTATATACCAAAAACTATATACCATTTTCTTATAAATAAAATATAAATTATTAAATACAAGTATTAATAGTGATACATGTTATTTTATAATATTACCCGTATAATTCACGAGGAAAACCATTCGATTTTATATGAAATACACTTTTTAACCTCTTAGCATTTCATCCTTGCTTTATCCACTTCCCTCCCTTTGTTCTTATCGAAATTAGCAGTAAATAAGGGCCACATGTTCCAACTATTAAAATACTGTGTGACGTTTCAATTGTCTTATTTCTTAATCACACTTGGGTACTTTACGGTTATGCACCTGCCCGATAACTAGCACAATATCATTTCTTTAAAGGGAAGCGCATTCCAAAAACAAGACAAAGTAATATTAACATTTCGATATCTTAATAAGATAGCTTCATTTCTACTTCTTCCTGTAATCTCGCCCTTTCTTGCTGTTGTCCCTGCCACACCTCAGACCTCAAATTATCTATAAACAATAGGAAGAGATGAATGGGCAGCCGACTCCGCGAAATGGTAGACTGGATGTCAATTCGCGTTTGCTTTGCTATGAAGAATTCTTGTATTACGCTGGCATAAAGAACAATATTTAGAAGGGAAAGATTCGGCGTAACTTTCGCAGGCAGCTTGCGAGGGTTTGTCTTTGCTAGTAAAACGTAAATTATCACTACGTGGGCGAATCTATTTTTAAATTTAAGGCAGATCGTTCTCTGAACGCACTGAGAAAGGGGAAAATGACAAGAATACTTTTTTAATATTTTCATAACCTGGTGCTAAAATGCTAGGGGTAAAATACGTGAGGGAATACGGTAGATTTTTACACGTGAAAAACGAAACTGACTATTATGTAGACTCATGAGATCAAAATATCTTACGGTGAGAGAAAAATCCGAAATACTTTGCTTTCTTTTCACTGACACGAAATATTTCATACATTTACTATTAAATAAAAGAAACATTTCCCTAGATCCGAAAATCAGATTTTAGCTCAATATTATTCGACTAAAGTATTAGAACTCCATAGATGCTTATAGCTGCTTAAGTGGGTCTGACCACTCTACTCATTGCCTGCTTGCCAGTTGAGTATGTAGGCAAGATAGAATTTATTCCAGGCACACAAGATTGGAATGTCATATATTGACACCTTCTGAAGGTTTCAACTCTAAGAACTGGTACGGTACGTGGATGGTGTGGTTTTTGTGTTCCACCACCAGGTGGCCACGACGCGGTGATGCCCTCACAACGATCACCGTTTCTCCTTTGAGCAATGTCACTTCACCACTGTTGTCCTCTGCGGAGAAAAAGAACAATGAAACATAACATTATTCAGTTGAAAGACAATATATTTTAATATAATTGAATAAGAATATTTCTTCTAACATCTAAAGACTGGAAAATTTTTCTTCATGTTCTGCCGTCCGTTTTACGTGAAAAGTGCAGCTAAGTAGTTCTTAAAACAGCAATTTTAAATGAACCTGATTTCTTTCAAAACTAAAATTCGAATTATTTTAGATGAACAGCTTAGTTATTAACTTAATTAAGTAATCTTTGAACTTTAAATTAATTCTTCTTCTTCCAATAGATGGCAGCACAGAATATGTGTTTAATTGCAGAATTCTTTTATTTTTTATTTATTTTTTTATTAATTTTTTATTTTGTTGAGAGTCGGACTAGTTGCTCCGAAACTGATTCAAAGAACTGATTTACTTTTCTGAGCGAACGAGCAGTTAATTTCAAAAAACGAGTGGTAGCTCCGTTTCCTAGACCACGGAGGTCTCTTGTTGGAAGCGTACCAGGAACAAAGACGTGCTATTTACGGACTGATTCCTTTAGCAAAGCGAGCGAATACCTGATTGTCAAAAAAATAGCAGAGCTGTAGCGTTCTCCTTTCGAAAGTTCTTGTTGGAAGCGAGGCAGAAAAATTTAATTCCCATTTTAGGGAAGAACAGAATGTTTATTCTCGAATATTAAAAATGAGTTTCATTTCTATCATTTCTCAACTCTTTGAAAAATATTTTATTCTGTAACTCTTTATCAAAAGCAGGTTTTATGAACCTCAAAACTACAGTTGAAAGAAGTCAGTTCCAGGAGCAAGCGTTTGATCGAGTCGAATCTTCTGATCCCATTGATTTTTCCGCTTTTGGCTTCACCCTCGCAAACTACTCTTGATTCAATCCTCGTTCCCGATGTTCTTCATAAAAGTTATTGTTTGTGAGCGGTCAGTCATAAAAAGAAATGATTCATTTCAGTGAGCGAACGATTTTGATCCGGTCAAATAATTATTTTTCCTATATCGTTCAAAACAACAATGTAATTTAGTATAAATACAATGAGAAGCATATAAATATGTACATTCACAGAACTTTTATTAGGAAAATATAAAAACTTGTTTATGAACTCATAATGGCTTTAGCAATATGAGTAAATCTGTCAAATAGCTCCGGAAACTACTTGACAGATGCTAGGGACAGAATTTTAACACTCGGAGGGCATTTTCATTTAGGAGAGAATATTCAAAACAAACTTTAAAATTAGGGGGAAAAAATGGCAACCTAAGTTTGTCGTAGATGTTTTAGTTCTTTTCTTCGTTTTCCTTCCCCCCCCTTTTTTACGAGCAGGAAGGAAATATCTTCAGAATTACTTTTTTTGCTTCTGAAGAAAAGAGACGCGTGTCTGATTATCCCCAAATTCGATAGAACTGTTCAAAACCTAAGTCAAACTAAGATCCCTTTGCCTAATTTTTAAAGGTTAATAAAATAAATAACAAGCGGCGTAATTCCTTACTTGGGAACACTTTTCTGATTCTTGGCAATTTTTATAGTGTAGGCTGACCTTATTAGGCGACTTTGCTGCTTATTTAATGCTGACCTTATTTGACGTCTATTTATTTGACGTCTATTTGCTGCTTATTTAATGCTGATCCTATTTGACGTATTATTGATTTAATGCTGACCTTATTTGACGTCAGTTTAAAAAATTATTCGATTATACCTTGGACATATTAACCGAATAATTGATCAAAATGAGAGATGTATTTTTCATGTTTCTTATACAAACAAGCAGAACTTCGACAATTCGATAACAATATCCGAATGATAACATTAACCGCGATCCCATTAGGCGGCGCGTCTACTGTAGGAAGCTGCAAAAGAACTGAGAATTAAAGGAATATGAGAACTCTTAATAAAAGGGGGGGAAGCAACCCACATTGTTTTCTCCGCTTAGATAGAAGATTAGAATGAAATTAAAGCACTGTAAAGTAAATATAAGAAAAAGGGATGAGCTATGTTTTCCCTTATGCAATATTGTCACATAAAGATCATCTTATGCAATATTGTTTCATACAGATCATCTTATTTCTAGCACCACTTGGGCACACAAGGTCCACGTTAGGAGCCTCAGATTTTAAGGGGAGCTCTAAGGCTAGACCTCGTGAGCCGTGTTTTCGAACAGCCGCTTTGTGAATGTGACTGTATACATAAAGGAGGTTAAACATACCTGGATAATTCATTTTCATGACTCTGGCTTGAGGATAGCCCATTTTCGTATTACCCGTGACAGTGTAAGACCTACTAGGGGGGACGGGTGGGGGTCTCTCCAGGTCCAGCCCGAAAAGAGAACACGTTTGCTGGATTGTCTTCTGGTCGCATCTCTCCAGGTCGGGGGGAGGAGTTCCAGCAATCGGTTGGGGGCGAGGCCTAAAAATTTTTAAAAAAGAAATTAAAAATTTTCAGTACTACGGAAATGATAAACTTATAAAAATTAATAAAACTAAAGTTTGTCAAAGTAAGCTTTAGGCTAAAAGTAAAGAAATTAATTATGACAAAAAGCCAAATTATTGAGAGTAAATTGATGTAAATTGATGTCAATCATTTTAAATCTGAGTTAAACGTTTAAAATCATTCCAGTCGCTCCAATCATGTCATGAACATCAGACCTTATGCTCTTCATCAGGTTAGACAAATTAATTACTAGTGTATTTTTACATGGTGCTTTCATTCTGACATTTTCTGCAGTGAGAAATTTATTTTCTCATACCATGGATTTAAGACTTGCTGACACAACTCGTGTGACTTCAGCCTTTCTGATTTGCCATTATAATGCTTCTGATTCACCAGCCGATGATCTCAGCATTGTTTTTTTCCCAAGATTATCTTTTCCTTTATCTCCCAAGATTATCTTTTCCTTTCGGACCACCAGATGGAGGCACATGAACCACTCGTTTGCCGACGTTTTCTGCTTTATGGAGGATGAAATAGCCTCGCTTTCTACCTTGTTTCTACGATCTTTCCTTCGAAATTCATTTAAGGAGCTCTCATATTCGATATGCCCTTCGCGGACTCTCTACAAAGCTGGTAAGAGCTATTTTATAATAGCTGCATGCCAGCATAACAACTAGTTCCAAATTGAAAGAATGCTTTTGACTTCTCTTTCACAAAGTTCCCCTGAAGTTTAATTGTAAATAAAAATGCCGTTAAAAACCAAAACCATTCTCCTTATGCATGTTAGGAATCATTATATTCAAAAGGAAGAAACAAAATAAAACATCACTAATCATATTCTAGAGGTCCAGGTTCGAGTTCCGAGTTCTGGGGAGAGCATTGCATATTTTTCACGTTTCCTGCTTTAAAAAAAAAAAAAAAAAAAACAAACCACAATGCCTTTAGAAGCTATGTAAAATAAAAAATACATTAATGCAGCCCGGCACTGGGCTTTTTGCCGCCCGGTGCGGCTGCACTTGTTGCACATGCTCTGGCGCCGACCTTGTGTAAATCTCAATAAACATACATAAATCTCAAAATTATAATTTAAATTAGCAATAATTCTTAATCAGCCTCTCTATTCTAAAAATAATAACTTTCCTGGGCTGTGTTAATTTTAGATCAGTCTGCCACATGGCTTACGTAACGCCGAAGACACAGCTCATTCGGAACCTGATCTTAAAATTTCGAGAACTGAAACCCAAACCTTCTCTTGGTGAGCCTCCATACTGGATCTTTAACTCGCACTTTTGTTTCTATTTCTGTTGACGCTAGGACATTACTTCGCTAGCTTACCCTCTAACAGCTGTTGTCCATTGTTCTAAAAACATAATCTGTACAAAATTGTGGGGTTCCTAGCACCTCCATAATGATGATGTGAAACGAGAAAGAATATGTATCCTCAGACTTCATTATCCCAGGAATAAAATTATGTGTGGAATTTACGGCTACGTCTATCTTGGAGTGTCATCTTTCTTACCGCGCAGTAAAGCCTCTCCAAGTTACGACTCAGAGAACCATCGCCACTCCGTTGCAAGCAACTTTCTCCGAGTCATCCTGTTACACATGTGTGTAACGATTCACAAGCTGATGCAGGTAAAGTTTGTAATTAGAGAAAAAGTAGGTGCGAGTCATGAGGATTGATCACCCACCTGTTAATCCGCGCTCTCGCTTGCATGTGCAGATTGCGTTTCAGTGTGGGCCACCGCTTTCTCCTGAAGTTCCATCCCCTCCACACTGCCTGGATGAGGATGGCAGCGTTGTGTCGCCTCTCCACTCGCAGCAATTCCAACTGCTGACGCGACCCTTCGCTGCAAAACGAGATCAAGCATTAGAATATCACAGTGTGCATGAAAAATACTATTTTATTTATAACAAATAAATGAATAAAACACCACCGGTAGTCTGACACTTTAGATTTCAATTCAACGTTTGAGAGACGGCATAAATTTGCGAGACACATCAATTTATGATTTAATTCAACCCTCGTCATTTCATTGCCGAAGAATTCGTTCATTTTATTCCGAACACAGCCCGATAGAGTAACATCCCATTTCATTTATAAAAAAAATCTGAGTTTCTCACCCCTTTCTCTGATATTAAACAACAAAGATTCCCGTACGTATTGTTGCGTGCGTACGGGTAATGGAATGAATGCACACAGAACTCACTGTAGCCTGATAAAATTTATTTTACAAACAGAAACACTTTACAGTTCTGGGTCTTTCCACAAAAACACTCGTAAAGCTCTTCTCAGCATAGCAGAACACAATCGTTACACTTCATACTACTAGGCACGTTAAAACACAATGCAAAGCGTATCTTAAGCGAAACTCGTAAGGAGATCTCTCAATACTTCGAGCTCACGATGATTTAAACAACTGTCTATGTCTATGTCGTATCGCAATTAAGAGGCAATCGGCCTAGTGGAGCCTTTACCAATATAATTATAAATAGGGTATCATTAATGATGAGTTGCATCCAGTAAGAAAGGATGTACTTTTTGCACCTAGTGTAGAGTCTCTAGAAGAGAAGTAAACGTGGCGCCATCTTTTGGCAAAAATTGTAGTGAATTAAACAACTGAGAAACTGATGCTCTTTTATATAGTTTTACCTCGGCTTCCGGAGAAATCTCCAGTACCTTCCACTTCTCGAAATTACTGGAGGGCATATGAGGACCGGATACGATTACAGTTACACATAGGGATCAATTTCAGTTATTCAGTCACAATACCAGTTACAGTAATACAGAGACCGGACTAAACAGTCACCTAATGGTCGCCAAATGTGACGGCTTTTGGTGATTTCTTGCCAAATATGGCTACAAAAACTAGTCAGTCATCGAACCCGCCGCTGGCTTGGCGATATCTCGCCAATTTAACGAGGTAGCCATTTTAAATAGATTACACCTGTAACCTTATTTTTTCAGCAGAGCATCGTCTCTTTCAAACTTTTCATGTTAATTTATAGGAAAAATACAACTATTTCGCATATAATCTCATTAAAGTTATTTACGTATACATAAAATACGTCAGACGGCGGGCCGTTGAGCCACGAAAATTTTTACTGCGCATAATTCTCCATCGGAACGTGTGCACTTCGAAGCTCCCTAATTTTTAATTTCGAATTTTTTTTATTTATTTCATATTTTGTCCATATTTTCAACCAAATTTAATCAATCACATTTACAATAACAAATTTGAGCGCAGGAATTTTATCGTGATAATAAGTCTATCCTGTGAACTTTTATATAGTAATTAAAGCGAACAGGAATTCCTTATTTTAAGTTTAAATGGCAATGAATGACAGCATGATGGCAAGTCGACGGTCATTGAGGCGCTGTAAGTAACAAGACCCGATGGGCACCAGAAGACATCCAAACATCGGTAACTGAGGTACGATTTCTAAGTCATCAACATCAGGTAAACATAAATTGATGCGAAAACTGGAAAGATTATGGACGCGCATACATGCTAAAAATTACAATTCAGTGCTTTATTTCGGAAGTAACTTTAATGCTTACGAAGGAAATAAAATACTGACCTCAGGAAAATGTGCCTTTTGCCCATGGCCCAGGCGGTGGATGCATTTGAAACTCGACAATTCTCGGTGACAGCCATGAAACACTCCAAAATCAACTATAAAAGAAAAGAGACCAAACGTTGATTTAACATTTTTGTCAACCATTCACGGAATAAGAAATACGAATCACATCAGAACTAATTTTACTCGAATGTGTGATCTCTAAATAATATACCATCAGAACAATACCAGTTCCAAGTTCAGAATCTTATGTTAAATTTCATCTTACCTTTAGCTTCTTGATTCTTTTAGCACAGAAAACATACAATATGAAAATTAATCCCCCCCCAAAAAAAATACAGAAGGGCATTAAATAATGTATATATCTATTATTAAATGCCCAGAAGACTTATTATTTTAAGTGTAAATATGTAGAAACTGATCCAGATATAATTAAGAAGTGTGCAGTAAACTGCGAGGAATAATTCTTGGGAATTATTTGTAAAACATTATAGAACAAAAAACTTTATGTTCTTACTGCTAACACATCGCTCAATAAGTCCCGAACCTAACTAATAAAACAACAACTTTTAGGCTAATTCAACTTTATTCAGCTCTCCTTCAAGATTGATACATTCAGTCTAGCGCTCCTATAATTTTTTATACCTTTTTCGTAGAACGATTTGTTTTTGCTTTCAAAATAGGCTTCAACCTCGGCAGTCACGTCGTCATTTGAGCCAAACCTCTTTCTTGGAGCGTTCTTTTGAGGTCTGCAAATTGCCAGTAGTCACTGGGGGCCAGATCTGGACTATACGATGGTTGGAAAAGCCATTCGAAGCGCAATTCATTCAACTTGACCACTGTTATTATCGACTTGTGACTCAGTCGACTCAGTAACGTTATGTTATATTCAATATTAATGGTTTGCCTTTGTCAAGATATTCAATGAACGCAATTCTATGCACATCCTAAAATACGAAGGCCATGACCTTGCCAACTGACAGCTGACTGTTGAGTTTTTGGTTGCTCTGGACGGCTTTCACCGGCTGCTGTCCAATCAGTTGACAATCTTTTTGAATCATGCGTGTAGTAATGCACCCATGTTTCATCCATTGTCACAAATCGACGTAAAAAATCCTTTTTATTTTGTAGAGATATTAGGTTATTTTTTAAAGCAAGAGAGAAGAAAATGAGCAATGCCCTCGCCGGGACTCGAACCATGAACCGCTCGAATACGCGTCGAGCGTGCTGACCACTATACCACGAAGGCACGCTAAGAAAGTGGGAGAAATACCTTATCATTTCATTCAAGCAGCTCCAAACAGCGCTCTGAATCGTCGTTGTTTTTGATCTGATTGATTGTTATTGACTGTGACGATTGATTGTTATTGACTGTGACGTCGTTGATTGTTATTGACTGTGACGAAATGCGGCACCCACTTTGAACACAGCTTCCTCATCGACAAATGTTCATGCAAAATAGTGATTACACTGACTTCTGGTATCTTCAACTCCTCTGCTGTCTCACACAACTTCAATTTACGATCGGCAATAACGATTTTATAGACTTTTGTGATGGTTTCTGGAACAACTGCGGAATTCGGGAGACCTGAGCATTCAGCGTCATTTGTGTCTGTGCGACCGCGTTTGAAGTCAGCATACTACCTCTTAACATACTTTAAACATAACTTTAAAGTCAGCATACTCTCTTGTTATCAATGGAGCAGAGTCCAAATAACACTTATCAAGCCATTGCTTTGCTTGAACAGTATTTCTTCCCATTATAAAGCAATGTTTAATCAGCATACGAAATTCTTTTTCAACCAATGTTTTTAAACAAACAAAAGTTGCTTCAAGATTTTTCAAGATTAGGACTATTAAGGTTAGACTTAGGAAGATTAGGAGGTGGCGCCATCTATATGTCAGCTCAGGGACTTATTGAGTAATGTGTTATAATTTAGAAGAAAATGTTAAGAAAAATACGCAATATTTAAACGATTCTCTGTGAAAATTATTTTGGGGACCGTTTGACCATTAAACATGATCTTTGACTATATTATTAGTCAAAGATTATTATTTTATTATAATTATTAGTGTAAATGATTTTTTATTATTTATTATTGATTTTCTATTATACGGATATTTTTAGTGTAAATGAAAATTTAACACAACATGCAGGAAATAAACTAAAAACTCACCTTGCAGTCTTCGATGGCTTTATCATCTGTCCTTTTTAATTTTTTGAATGGAGCGATCAGGCGATACCGTATGTTGAACGCTTTAAACCGCATTCGATGAGGAAAACCTAGAAAATAAGCAACATTTTTTTTTTAATTGGTAAACTTAAAAATATATATTATTTAAAGGAAATACAACTATCGAATTCAGTGGTCTGAAACTGGCGGCCCCCAAAGCAATTTTATACGGCCCACGAATACATTTCAATTAAGAATTTGTTGCAAATATTTCAGTTACTTGAATTCACAAGGAAGTAAAAAGAGATAATTATTTAAAACGAAATGAAGCTACGAACTGTTAAGATTAAGTAAAGCAATAATTTTTTCATTTGGAATATTACGGTCTAACGGCATCAGCCCTTGTATTTCTCGCTGTTTTATCAAAATATATTATCAAAATATATAGTTAATCATATATATCAAAATATATAGTTAATTTTCTCGATATAATATATATATATATATTGATTTTGATAATATATATAAAAACATATTATCAAAATATATAGTTAATTATATTATCAAAATATATAGTTAATCCCACTGATTCGATTCTTTCTGCTCTTCGCAGTGAAAAGCTTGCATTCTCGTTAACTACTCTTGATTCACTCCTCGTTCCTTATATTTTTCCTCAAGGTTATTGTTATTGAATGGTGAGTCATAAAAAGAACTGATTCAATTCAGTGAGTGAATGTTTCTGATTCAACGACATCAAATTGGTTCTCAAAGTGTAACTATTTTTCGGGGGCAATATTTTTACCTTTTCTCTGTTTCTAAATCTCTCGACTTGCGATCTTCTGGACATATATTTTACTTAAAATAGAGGTCATGAAAATAATTGCTTCAATGTGATTTTACGTTACCTACATTTTTCAGTGTTTGTAAAGTATGACATGGCACTGAAAATATTTATATTATAGCTTGCTACTGCTTACTTGTTGAGTCATTTTTAGGGTTCTAAGTAACTCCTGTTATCATGGCCAATCCAGCCGTTGGTTTCAAAAGGCCGAGTTCATGATCCTGTAAATGACTTGCTGCCAGTCTTTGTTAACGAGAGTTTAGCAAAGGAAAATACTAAAATGATACTTTCATAAGGTTAATTAGTGTTAACTATGTAGCTTAGTTTACCTCGGAACAACACTGAAAATCATGTGTTTCCAATTTGAGGGCTCGATAACTCGAGAAATTATTTTTTACACTCAGCTCATGGAGAATTTTCTAAGGGAAACTGGCTCGTGTAAATGTTACGCACGTGGAAAACCACGAAAACGCCCATGCAGCCAGCCCGTTCGCCTGGGCTTGAACCCTGGTCGCAACTACCAGCGTTCAGGGATTTTGCCTCTCGGCCGCTGGCAGGTTCTTTCTTAAGGAGCGAAAACAAATCTCTATGTTTGGGTGCGCTCGCCCGTTTTATGCTCGCAGCAGATGGAGGTGAAATAATCGAAATGGGACGCAATCTCCCAAAATCGATACGTCTGTGTCACATGGCTGTCAACTGGGGCGAAGTTTCTAAAGAGGAGACTTTAAGCGAAGATTTAATTCGCAGCACAATGGGATGCGCACGTGATGAGTTGGTGACATTAAACACTAGATACTTTGATTCTTCTCCGCGTTCGTCACAAGAACGGAAAGAACCAACTGATTTAATGAGCGAAAGGATCTGGTCCGATCAGATCAGGGATTTTGTTTGAATCCGATTTTGTTCATCGCTAATTAAAATTCGCTGTCTTTGCAGTATTATATTACACAGTATGAAAAAAAAGGAATGTACTTACCGCCCGCCATCAAATTAACTGTTTCCAGAACTTGTAAAGCCCGTATCTGCTGAACGACAGCTCCCCGGTCGAAATGACTTGGTTGCTCGTTGCTATTTGCCTATAAATAAATGCGCAGACAATGTTAAAAATAAAAACCAACACAATTATTTTAACTGTTTTAGCAGGACGATAAATACCTGAAACAGAATCACGAAACAAAATGTTTAAAAAAAAAAAAAAAAAAGCTATTTCCTTTTTCTAAGTATGACTGAACAAGAAGGTTAAGAAAAATGAATTTTATAAAAATTGCGAAATATAACTTCCCTAGAGCTCTGTAGTTATGTTTAGTAAAAGCTTATAGTCATTCTAAAAATAAAACACAAAAGGTTCGACTTTCAAATGACAAAAATTGACGGAGATATTTAATTTTAAAGTTTCAGGTAATGTTTTTTTATAAATTCAAGAGTCGTACATGCTGAACCGAAGAATGAAATATATAAATTTGTATGTAACTAAAAATGAAATAACAGCTGACTAAAAACGGCTTCTGATCTTAATAGATAAGTTTAGTAAGAGTACTAAAAACTTCATATAAAGAGTCAAAAATCTATTACTGCTAAAGTGTATACAGTACTAAAGACTTTATATTTAGTCAACTATTATTTGATAGAACAATGGTAAAACTTTTAACTAACTAAAACTATAATAACCAGGGCCCAGATTTTGATGACCTAAAAAAAGCACTAAAAATACCCTTAAAATAGGCATAAAATGCACTCTAAATGGAAAAAATGCCCTTAAAAATTTAAAATAGATCAAAATGTACCCGATGAAATAAAAAGGAATAATATTTAAAAAAATGCCACAGTTGACAAACATTGAAGAATGATTAAAACCGAAATAATTACACTACAGATAAAAGCCGAAATTTAATTCATGGGTTCGCATCTACTAGATGCAGGGTGCTTTGGAAAGACAGGAGTCATTCCGAAAAAATAAATAAATAAATAATAAACTTTTTATTGAAGCACATGAAACCTACAAGGACAGACACAACATCTTAAACTTTCCTTTACGCTCCAAACTGAAGACTAACTCTGATTTCCATACATTCTAGAAACTGACAGCCCTCTACCACAGCTTCAGTTCACTTCAGTTTGCAACATACACATACCTGTCACACGAATTTTATTTTTTCTTCTCAGTTTTCAAATTTACACAAATATATTAGAATTGCAATGGTTTATTAAGTGCTTCTTGATGTTTTCGAAAGTGGAAGGGTTTTCTGTTGTTAGTATATTCGTTTTCATATCGTGAAAAGCTTTTCTCGACATCTGCTGCAGTTACTGGAACATACTTTAGGGGGGGGTATTCCATCACTTGCCGTTAACTCTCCTTCAGTGTCAAAAGAGAGCTTCTCCTCTCGAGATGAGACTATTTTCCGCTTTATTAGGAAGCCACCGTTTTTAGCGAAAACAGTGTTGTAATGATTTAATAGTCTTGTAATGATCTAACAGTTGATTAGGTTCCTGAAACCAGATCTGAAGCAAGCAAGATTTCTTTCAATTTTTCATCAACAATTTATTCCATCGTAACGTATTGTATCTATTGCATCGACATTGTATTTATTGCATCGAGAAATTTCACATTTTGCTCTTGTAAGGATTTAATAGTTGTAATAATTTAATACTCTTCTGATGATTTAATAATCTTGTAATGATTTAATAGTCTTTTGGTGATTTATTAATCTCGTAATGATTCAACAGTCTTAAGTTGATTTAATAGTTGTAATGATGTAATAGATAATTAGAATACTGAAACCATGACATGAGGTACGCAAGTAGTTTTGCGTCGACAATTTATTGTATCCCTGGCATCGACATTGTATTTATTGCATTGTAACACATTGCATCGACAAATTTCATATTTTGCTCTTGTAATGATTTAATAGTTACTTATGATTCTGAAACCTGATCTGAGGTACGCACGATTTACTTCAAGTTTTACATTGGCAATTTATTGCGTCATAATTTATTGCATCTAATGAAAGGAAAAATTTCATATTTTGCTCTTGTAATGATTTGATAATTGTAATGATTTAATATTTTTGTAATGATTGAATAGTTAATTAGGATCCTAAAAGCGGATCTGAGGACCAAGATTTCCTTCATTTTTGCATCTTAATTTATTGTAGTTATTCCATCGACATGATGTATTTACTGTATTATTCTATTTATTCCATTGTAATTTACTGTATTTACTGCATCGACAAATTCCATGTTTTGCTCTTGTAATGACTTAGTAGTCTTGTAATGATTTAATAGTTAATTAGATACTGGATCTCGGGTAGGCAAGATTTCCTTCAGTTTTTGTCTGTGAAGAAAACATTTTGTGCGGTTTGAATCGAAACAGCATCATCCGCACCAAAGCTATTCGCAACAAACTTCGTAGTTTGAAAATTTTCACCATAGTACATCACACACTAAACCATGTTCCCCAACGTGTTATAACAATCTTCGGTGACAAAGCTGAGATGGAAGCTTGGGATTTAAAACACTATATACGATACGGATTTTAAGAGAAATTTTTTTTTTTTTTGCATTAGATACAAATTTGTCAATATCGGGGTAGTAATAAAAGATTCAAAAAGTATATGCAGCGAAAATTCTGAAATTTTAAAAATGTATTGCTCGTTTCGGCGGTACTTTTGAGGCAAAAGAAGAATCGTTTAGCGAAGTGTGCGATCTTCAAATGTTATTCGGTGCATTTCTAATTCGACAGTTCCTTTTTAAAAATGAAAAGGTCGAACGTCATTCGCCAACTTACCGCCGACGGACTATACCAGCGGAATGAGGGGGGAGGAATAAAAAAATTAAATAAATAAATAAATAAATAAATAATTTTATCGAGTTAGAAAAACGAATTGCACATAGCTGCTAGTCTGTGATTCCAAAGAATGTATCGGTAGAATATCTTTTTCCCTATCGGCGTGCAATCCTGTGGAACTGCACGTGCACAAAAAGTCAAACAGCTAAGAAATGCCAGCGTGGAAAAGTTCTTAGAAGTGATTCTCTTATCTTGTGGAAAAAGCCTGTCATGATAAACAGAACTAACAGATTACAAGACTTTTTTTCTTTCTTTCTTTTATTTATTTATTTTTTGATAGAATACCATACCTGGCTAGTAAAAATGAGTTCATAGGCGTTGAGATAGTGTTATTTTAGTAATTATTACAATATGCTCTAAAATGCCCAAAAGTCTTAAAAAAGGATTTAAAAGAGAAAAATACTTAAGAAACGAAAAAAAAAAAGACATGTCATCAAAATTCGGCTTTCGCTAATTACCCAAAAACTTACTTTTATACATCGGATGAAATGAGGCTTCGCATGAACCAAAGTTCTAAGAAGATTATCTAAACGACTATGAAAATCCTGAGTGAGAGTTGATACTGGTTCATCGCCATTTTGCCTGCACAGAAATTAAGAAAATTAGTTTAAACTTACTACAAAATATTAGTCAAAACGAATGCTCACAAATTCTTTACACATGGTTAATATTCACCAGTTCTATTTTTATACCATTTTTTAAAATGGCGTCTTTTTAGAAACCTCTATTTGAATTTAATACTAAAAAACATTATTATTAAAAAAATTAAATTTACACTTATACAACGTATTGTCAGGTTTTTGAAATAAGTTTGACTAAAATATACAGATATTCAAATTGTTCTTGAATTATTGATTATGTTCCATTGGAGGCCTTTTTTAACCACTTAATAGTTTTGCCCGAGCACCGTTCAGGTGTCCGCTAAAGCGGACTTCTCTGATTTACCGCTCGGGTAGTTTTTTTTTCTTGCACAAATCCGCAAATTTACCCTACTTTTTCACTTTGTAGTGTTTCTAATGAATATCTCTAGTAGTCCAGGAGAGACTGTGTTCTAAAACCAGTTCAAGGAAAGGTTTTACTGCTCTGGGCTTCATTTCGGCGTTTAGGCTCGAAAAGGAATAATAACGAAAAACTCATCAGAGAAAAAAAAAAAAAAAAAAAAAAAACAGATATTTTTGTTTCAATTATGATACTGGACTCCGCTTATATCGATGTTTTGAAATATATCACACCAAAGCTGAAAGAAATTTTGACATGTAAGTATTTAAAAAATGTATGCTCCTTTTTTTTTTCTATCGCCTGTAAAGTGTTCTTTCTGGTTTTGCACCTTCGTCGGAAAAGAAGCCAACTTTAAGTAAAGATGTCCTATTTTCACCGTAATTAAAAATGATCTTAAATTAATAGATGCAGTACTTGAAACGGTTTTTGAGTGCAGATTTGAATTTATGTACTCGATTTAAATTCAACATTTTTTTATGAAAAAACACGCTTATTTTTGGTCATAATATGGCAGAAAAACGAAACCGGTAAAGTGGTTAAAATAGTACTAATTCAGTACTTCTCGAATAACGGTAAAACGATTCCCATTTCAACCTTTTCATTCAAGGTCAGCTTAAAATCCTAAAGCGGGTCAGGAAGTCACTTGATACTGAAATACGTATGAAGTGACGTCACAATGACGCTTAATCAGCCAAACTTAGTTTAGGCACTGCTTAGGAAAACCATTAATGACACTGACGATTACACATAATACAGAAAACAAGTTGCTTTTAAAATTTGATTACAACTCAGTGCTATTATTATTATCCTGAAAGAGGATCAATCCAATTTCTAAAGAGTTAATCGCTGAAATATTTTCAGTATTCTACATCTTGAAAATCGGAACAATGAAAGCGTAAAATGAAAACTTTTCAGGATCTGGCTAGCATTAAATTTGTATTAAAAATACGAGTACAATGCTCCAAAGAACCGTGAAAATCCTAAGTGATACCGATATCACAATTTTTAATAAAAGAGATTCATTATTTTAGATTTTGTAAAAATGCAACTTTCATCGTAGAGCAGTAAATTATGCCATATATACGTAGTAAAATTGTTTTTTTACAACGCGAACGGAGTTAGTATGCGACATTAAAACAAAGGATATATCTTCTTTTCCAATTAAAATAATTATTCATTTTGCCCCTTCAGAAACCCCCTTTTCAGGCTTTTCTCGTCACTATAATTCCTAACAGAAATAAATGAAAGAGGGAGGACACTATAATCCCTTATCCTTCCTCTCTTTCAGTGTCTTCCAACTATAAAGAAAGATTAAAAATAGAAAGGCTGAAATGGTACGATGTTTGATACTATCATCCGAAACACCAGCAGAAGAGAGAAAAATGCCTGAAAAGGCGCGAATTTTTTTTTTTTTTTTTTTTTTTTTTTTGGGTTTGTTGTTGTTGCCATCTCTAGAAAACCCGAAATGGAACGTCATAGAATTGTTCACACAATAGTCTCATAACGAATAAATGATTTCCTATTAAGTTCATAAAATATAAATCGTTTTCAAATACAGGGTGGGCCATATAAGACCCCCCAATGTTAAACACACATAACGTTTTTATTTTTTGACACAATTATTTTTTTCTTTTTGTAGGTTATAATTGAATTCTTGGAAATTTATTATGGAACCCTACAGTACAAAGCAACGCGTTAAAATTATCGAGTTTTTTTATTCTTGTCAACGATCAATTGTTATGACACAGCGTAAATATCGGCAATATTTTAATTCAAGTGTACTGCTTGGTGCGGTGTTATGGCCCAATAGCCCATATTTCTTCGACATTGAGGATGGAACGCCGGAAACGATTTCCGGAGCTCCTTACAGAGCAATGATTGAAAACATTTTGCGGCCAATGGCGAAGCAGAATCCTTTTTTATGGGGATATTTAAAAGACAAAGTGTATGTTAATAAACCAGAGACTATTACACAGCTGAAGCAGAATATTCGAGACGAAATACTGAGCCTTCAACCAGAAACATTACGTGGTGTAATGGAAAACGCGTTAAAAAGAGCCAATCTCTGTATCGAAGAAAAAGGGTGGTATCGAGACAAAATGGTGGTCTGATGTCATATTTCATACATAATTTCCATAGAATATATTTAATGTATAAAAAAATTAATCAAAATAAATGATTATTACAAGAGTTATCCGTGTTTAACATTAGTAGGTTTTATTTGGCCAACCCTAAAAAATTAAATTAATATTTAATCAACGATTTTGACAAAATTTTTTTGAAAGTTTTTTTTTTTTTTTTTTTTCCAGAATGGAGGTTTACGCTTAGAACCAAACATGTATTTCTTTCAATGCGCTGTATATTTTTACATATTTTTTCGAAGTGTAAAAACAGAACTGGATTCATTTAACTTTCATGAATTTTAAACAACTGTATCTGAGTGTTCGTACTTAATTTACCAGAATACAAAGCATTGACGACAGACTGTAAAAATATTTGAAATAAAAACGTAAATATAGAACTTACAAATCAGTGTGAGCAGTTGGAGATATCCTAAAAGAGACACCCCGGGGTACAGTTTCTGAAATAGATAACCAATCATGAAATAGCTACCAAAACAGTGACAAATAAGTGAATTTAAAAATGACCAATTATTTGAGTAGAGTGAAACACAGAAGAAGGTCATCAAACTCATGTTACATTCGCAAGAACAAAATATTTAAATTATTTAAACTATGCATAAAGTTTAAACCACAAATTATTTTTAAGAATTTGATTACCATGCGTACCTATTTCCATTATAATCGCTGATTTTGTTTCTGAAAGTTTGTTTAAAATTTGTTTGTGTTTGTTATGATTGTAAAATTAAAAAAGTAATAATAATAAAACATACATGTAATAAATCTTTTTTCTTTTTAAAATTTTTCTTCATATCTTTAATCAAATTGCAACCTTTTAGTTACTTATGTGCCATTACTTGCATTAATGATGATATTATATACTGTATATTATAATAAAATGTAAGGGGGGTATCTGAAAAAACTGTTCCTTTAAAAGGGGTCTATGGAAAAAGAGTGTTGGGAATCCTTGTTCTACCTGATCTGTGTTTACGGTATCAGAATTAAAATTTTATTTCTAAAATGAGCCCAGAAGTTTTATTTATTTTCCTGTATGTCGTTTTGATATTTTATACATTATTCATTTTTGATGTGCATATAGAAGGACGGCAAAAGTTTTCCACACGCCACTGGTTTATATTCCAACAATGTGAAACAACTGAAGATCTTTTCACTCTCTTTCTTTGGTTTCACACACATCATGAGCAGGGCCGGTGAGCATATTTCACAAGTGCACATCAGCGTAGCTACTGAGGGAGGGGGTTTCGAAAATGGACCAATGAGCTGCTACTGCTCTTGTGACGTTAAATCTTCGTGCACGTCAGGGTATTTTGTTTAAGTTTTAATTTGCATTTGTTTCGCAGTTATAAATATATGGCGTATTAGTAGAAAATCTCGTAGTGCTTTCGTTTTCTGAGTTTGATTAATCGCTGACATTTCACTTTCGAGATTTTTATCACGCATTAATGTTAGGATTGATGTTCACGGCATATTATGTGGATTAAGAGAGTTCAAGCGTATATTTTTTTTTAACTGAGCTGAGAATGACTGAAAGTGTTACGATGAATCTAATGCTTTCTTATTTCAGTGCTTGCATTCTTTTGATTTTTAAAGTGTAAGATTCAGAACACATATAATCTGATTATATCCATTGTTAACATTAAAAATTTTATGTGAATAAATTGAATATACTCATTGTGAGTACGATAAATTCACTCTGATGTGTATTTCTTGTGTAGACAGTACATTTAAGAGTGAGCATTTATTAAATGTGGAAATTTAACGCACTAAATGTATACAAATGCAAATAGTAAAGTTCACTTTGAATAAAATTCTGCATTGGTTATTATTATAGAACATCTTTTTCATATAGACTGCAATAAAAAGTGCTGAACTTCTATATTACATATATAATTAGGTGTAAATGTTTTTCTCATACGCATAGTTTATGTAAAGATTGCATTTGGGCTCAGATGTTTATCACACATTTCTTTCATCATCTTATTTACCACTTATTAAGGTAATATTTCACATCGATATTTATTGCGAAGTATCCAACATGTATTTGTATTTATTTTCAATCCAGGTAGTGAAATCTTCATAATTTCTGCCTATATTTGATCTAACCTCTCAATGAAAATTTTTCAGAAGCAATCGACGATGCTTTAATTATTTTGTACAGAAGATTTGCGTGAGAGAATATTTTCAACCATCTTCTTAAATCTTAAATCTTCGGAAAGGCCTTAAAGCACGCGAAAGATCATGTGACATGTCAGAAATATTACTAGATGCTCATTGGTCCATCCTAGAAGCCCCTCCCTCGGTGGCTACACAGATGTGCACTTGTGAAATATGCGGCCGGCGATAGGCAGGTGTAGTCTCTGCGAATCCTAAATTCTGCTAATCTGCACCTCTCTAAATTTAGAAAAAAAAAAAAAAAAAAAAAAAAAAAAATCTGTAAATTTTGCTGCATGTTTCTTTTCTAAATGCTAAAAATTTTTCAGCCCTTAAATTCTGCCGCCCGGTGCAATCGCATCGGACGTCACAACTTACCACACATAGTCCATAGACCGACTCTTTCTTGGTTTATTTACATTATAATCGGTGTTATTTAGATCCGTGGCCTGCGGCCGCATTTCGATTATGTAGTCGTTGTTAAGATTTCAAGATTTTATTTATTTTAAATTCGAGTTTTTTATTATTTCCATTTCCATTACAAACGAGGGTGAATAATAAGCCAGAAAATCTACAAATGGAGATAAATAATTTATAATATGATATAAATTCTATTAAAAAATTTGAAGATACAGATTTTAATATCTTTTACTCATATTTGTTAAAAAAATAAATAAGCTGAGTTACAGTTTTTTTCACTAAAAATAATCGCTTTGTTTTGCATGACATTTATATATGAATAGCTGTTTTTCACACTCGAAACTTAACAAGAATAGAACCCTATTGACCGATGAGCAGTTACAATCCACGTAAAGAAGATAATTTCTAATAATTTCTGTCCACGGCTACTTTATCAAAATCTAAACGCTATCGAGTGTCAAGTTGTAAAAAGAAATAATCAAGTTTATAATTATTAACACAGCAAACGTACGTATTTTTATTTGTGCATCGAAGAAATGCTTACTAATTAAGAGAATGAGACTAAATTATCAGTATTTATTATCAAGGTTTTGTCCCACATAGTAAATTTTCTCTAAAACCCTTTCATAACTTGCTTAAGTTTAAATTATTGTAAATTATAATAATTAATTAAATGTGTTAAAATTATTTGAAACCAATGTCAGTCTGAAAATTTAAACTCTCAATACATTGTGTAACCAACTAAAATGTTTTCCATGTACCAAATTTTAGATTTCAGACTGAAAATAAGTATAAATTTGGATTTTTTTCCTTTTGCGATATCATTATCAATATTATGTATATTTTAACAAATATTTAGTACGAGAAATTTAAAATTTACTATTTAAAATACTTTTACTTCACTAATAATTTTTTAAAATTTTGTTTGAAAAAAAATTGGCCCGTCAGCTGTTTTCAGATCGTGCTTTTGCCCGCATTAATTTGCGTTTGAAACCACTGGTTTCTAAATTAACACTGGTTTTAAGATAATAAATTATTATTATCAAAGCTATTATAACCAATTATAATAATTATTATACTAGAATTCACTGCAATGACTAATATAAAAATGAAAGTTATAAAAAAATATATAATAATTAAAGAATTATAATAACAATTACTACACAATTATACTTTATCATAAAATTAAGTTCTGAAAACACTCGCATTTTTACAAGTATATAAATAAATGCACGAATTAAACACAATGTAATCAAGTAATTACTTTTAAATGATGATCAGTATATCGTCTTAGATTTCTTAAAAGCAATTTTTTGCTTTTTTAAGATTGTGCTTTCAACGCAGTCGAAATAAACAGGAGAAAAAAACCCTTCTACATAATTCATGTCCATTCACTCTATTTTGTGAATAAATCAGTCCAAAAGGCGCACGCGTGTTTGTGTCCACGGTCGCGGCTGTCTCGGTTGAACTATAGAACGTGTAAAGTCTCTGAAGTCTTTTAAAATCTAGGCGCAACTTAGAAGCTATTTCGTAAATTGCTTCACACAAAATGAAAACATTTTAAGTCTTATTCTGAATTAATTACCTTGGGAATAGAGGGCTTTTAACTCGCTTCCAAACAGATGTGTCGCAAAACCAAAATTACAAGCAGATTTGTGGAACACGGACACGATATCATCCGGAACGACATCTCTGTTTGTCTCCAGGAAGTGGGTTGTGTCGTAAGGCACACGTCCAGCGAAGTGCCTGATTCCGAAAATTCGACTGTCGGAGGGTTTGGGCTCATAGAATCTGAAAAAAAAAAAAAAAAAAAAAAAAAAAAAAAAAAAAAAAAGGAGTTTATTTTAATATGCAAAGCATAAGACGAAGTATAGTGAAGAAGAACTTGCTTGTAAAATGTCTCGAAAACCTAAAGATTTATTGTTAAAAGTTCGAGCCGAGAACTCCATATTTTGAAATCACATAAAAACATAGAAATGTTGCTTTCTATGTGCAAAAAATATCTATAACTGTTGTAATGTATTTCAGATCAGAAAAATTGGCATGTGGCATTTTTTGGATTCAGATCGCTTTGGTGAAATGGAACTACAGTATTAAATAAACTTTAATACCATACAATTAATAGTATAGAGTAAAGACGTCAAAAATTTCTCAAAGACTTACATAGAAAAATTAGTGGCAAACTGCAAATAATAAGAGGGCAGAACACGCCAAAGGCAAAAAGGGAAAATGAAACTTACATCTTTCATTTCATTGTCATCAGGGAGTTGGTGGAAAAAAAAAAAAAAAAAAAAATCAGCTTGTTTCTGAATTTTAAAAGAGACACATTAAAGTTGTAGAGACATTAGGTATTTTAGAAGAAGGAAAGATGAAAAATGTGCAATGCCTTCGACGGGAATCGAATCACGGACCTCTGGAATACGCGCCCAGCGTGCAGACCACCACACCACGAAGGCATGCCAAGAAGGCGAGAGAAATACCTTATATACTCTCCCTTTTTAAAGGGCAACTGGGGTTTTTAGGAGACCCAATCGTCAAATACTGGGTATTGAGAATGGCCATGTACCACCCTTTTAGTTCGGACGCCACTTCTAGAGTCTTAGGTAGTTTGGAAGCAGAAAAGATGAAAATTATGCAATGCCTTCGGGATTTCTGCAAATTCAGGAATCAGGAATTCAGGAATTTATAAAAAATTATGCAAAATTATGCAAATTCGGGAATCGAACCACGAACCTCTGGAATACGCGCCCAATATGCAGACCACCACACCACGAAAGCATGCCAAGAAGGCGGGAGAAATATCTTATAGAGTTTTAAAATTTAAAAATAGTCTTAGAAAAAACAAAAATAATCTACAGTCCAACCCATACTGGCCGAAGTAAGCAGTGAAAAAAAATTACAGTTTTATAAAATTATTTCAAGTAGTTTCAGTTTAAAAACAAAACTTGCATAAAAAAATTAATCCAGTCCTTGAAAAGAAAACCAAATACAAATTTTTAATCCAATAGTGGCTCAAGTCCAAAAACATGTAAAACGGAAATCCAACATATGAGAAAATAAATGAAATAAATGATAATTTTGAAATCAATCATTAATTTTAATTCTGTTTAAATAATGAAAAAGACAAACAAATTTTAATTATTCGTTTTGAATTCAATGTACAACAAAATGAAAAATGTCATTTTATTTATTAATTTTGAATCCAGTCTACACAAAAAGACAAAAAGTAAAAATAATTTTTATCATTAATTTTGGTTTCAGTCTAAATACTAAAAAAGTCAAATTAATTTTAATTTTTGAATCCAGTGTGAAACAAAACGAAAAATATAATTTTATTTACTAATTTTGAATCCACTCTAAACAACATCAACAGAAAAATCAAATTAATTTTAATCATTAGTTTTGAATTCAGTCGAAATTGAAGGGGAAAAAATATAAATAATTTTCATCATTAATTTTGGTTCTCGTCTAAATAATAAAAAAAGACAAACTAATTTTAATTCTTAGTTTTGAATCCAATGTAAACAAAATGAAAAATCTAATTTTATTTATTAATTTTGAAGGCAGTCTAAAGAAAAAAAAAAAATAATCATCATTAATTTTGAATCTAGCCTATGAAAAGGACACTAAGAAAAAATAAAAATAAATTTGAATCATTAATTTTGATTTCGGTCTAAATAGAAAAAATCAAATTAATTACTATTTATTTTAAATCCAAAGAAAAGAAAACATTAATCAAATCTAAGAAATTAAAAAAAAAAAAAATTATATACCCATAAATGAATTTTTTAAAAGAAAACCATTCAAATTCCTAAACTCCAACGATTCTTTTTATACTTACCTTGGGCTATTATGATGTTGAACTAAAACCTTTTTGAGATAACTATCCGGCGTGCCTCTGACTGAACATTCGACGTCCAGCATGCTCAGCAAACCCGTTCTCTGCAAAACAACACAACAAAATCATTTGAGTAAATGAAAGAAATGGTACGAAGGACTTCATTTTGAAATCTTTTCGTGCAATTTGCTTAAAAAAAGAACTGGAAATATTTTAATGACTTTAAAAACTTAAAAACAGCAAGATGATGAACAGTTTCTAAGCTACAAAAATAAATGCACGGCGGCTGGAAGACTGCCATTTACCTCTTTGTCCGGGCTATAATGAATATTAAACACGTGTGTATTTTCCCCCCCCTCTCTTCGACCAGTGAAAATAGATTCTCCGCATTCAAAATTATTCAAAGTTAAAGAAATTTCAATTTTGCGTATTATTACTGTTGCGCGTGATGAATAAAACTAACAAATAATTTTCTTTACAGTTGAAGCATAGTGGTAGGCAGGGCCCGATTCACAAAATTGGAGGCCCGAAGCAAAACCTGTTGCGAATTCCTCCCCTTCGCTTCGACGTAGTACATGTCTCCGCCGTAAATTACATTTCACGTAAAATACACGTTCATATTAAAAAAAGTATTTCGTGACATAACCTTGTGACTCAATATTTTTCAAGCAAAAATATGTAAAGAAAGAGGTGTGTTTAAACTTTACTTCCGTTTTATTTTCACGATTTTAGCTTAAAACGTTACAAAATTCTGTAAATATAAAAATTAATTAAAATTTAATTGCGTTTTTTCTTTTTTATGTATTGTTGTAATACTTTTTATGGTTTCATTTATTTATTTATTTATTTATTTAGTGTTACAGTTTTGGAGTTTGTATTGCTTGCAATTGGATTCGCGGCCACTTGTTTTGTCTATATAAATGTTATTTCTTATATAGAACTGTAGATGTTTTATTTCTAAGCCCAACAGCGTTTAAATTAGAAAAACGGCTCAACTGGTAGGTAAGATATGGGCAGAAAAACTTTTGACCGGTCATGGTAATGTTGGGTGACTTTCTGGAAGATTCGAGAAAACGCATTTTTGAAGCTGTACCACCGTTTTTCTCGAAGCTTCCGAAAGACTGCGCAACGTGATATAAATACGGCTCCGAGAACGGTATTAGTTTCTCAATTGTTAATCAAACCGATTTAACTGGATTACATTTTTCGATTTTTTTGATTGATTTTGGCGAATTTATAAACAAGACAATAATGACAATAATATAACAATTGGAAATTTTGCAGTACAGAAAAAACGACTGTAAGAGCTGTCTGTACATAAATACGTTACATGCCGAGTTACACCTGACCTTGAAAAAGAATTGTGTTGCGGAGTATCATACGAAATGAAGAGCGAAATGACGAGCCCTTTGTCAATACCAACAACATTTCTATATGCACAATAGGCCAAATAAGCTTTTGGCTATCTCGCTAAACTGGTAAGCTTTTAAAAAGTTGGAAAGGCCCACCAGCGGCCAAGCGGTAAAGTCGCTGAACACTGGTAGTTCGGTCCGAGGTTCGAATCCCGCGAACGTGCTGGCTGCATGGGCGTTTTCGTGGTTTTCTTCATGTGTAACGTGTATACGAGCCAGTTTCCCTTAGAAAGTCCTCCACATCCCTCCCCTTAGGCAGGTTAGCCCTAGTGTGCTTTGCCGTAATTAAATACAGCAACACACACAAAGTTGGAGATGGTTTTCACGACTTATTTTTAGTCCCCAAATTTGGCGAAAAATCGTCAAAAGTTTGGAGACCATTTGCCGACATTTTGGTCCGGTCCTCGTATAACTGTAATTGGTAGTGTATTTAAATCACTGTAGTTGATCCCTACATGTAACTCTAACCGTATCTGGCCCTTAGATGTAACTTTAACCGCATATACCTTCTAGTAATATCGAGAAATGGAAGGTACTAGAGACCGGCCGGGTCTCAGTTCAGAGTCGATTACGGAGTACTGAAATATCTCCGTGTGAGCTTCGCTCTTTAGAAGTGCTTTGCATTGCGTTGTGTTTAACGATTTTAGTAGCTTGAAGTGTAACAATTGACTGTGCTCTGTGATACCGAGAACAGCTATAAGAGTACTTTTTTTGGAAAGTTGCAGAACTGTAAAGTGTTACTTTTGGTAAAATAAATTCTATCAAGCTATCATCGGTTCTGTGTGCATTCAATGTATTACGAACTCGTACGTACACAACAATATGTTCATGCCATTTATATTGTAGTGTGTCACTTCCTCCCCAACTCCCTTCAGTGTTAAGCGAATTCGATAAGGCTGTTTAAATTATACACATGAGGTAAAAACTTGCATCTCACACTGAACCATGAGAAACTATTGTAATTTTTGAGCGTAAAATGTTTCGCTTAAAATATTTAAGTAAAATAGGTAATTAAAAAATTTCCAGATGAACATCACAGAAACTGGGTAAGGTACACATTTTTTTAATTGTACTCACCAGAGAGGAAATGAGGTCAATGCAAGGTACGTTGTCGACGTAATCCACTTGAAGATCACTCTGTACACCTTCTTCCCTGCAAGACTCGATACTGCTTTTAAATACGTGGGTGTTGTAGAAATGCTGGAGAGTTTCCGCACACAGATTGATGCAGAGATGCTCCAGATGACTGGGCTGAAATTTTAAGTCAAAATAACTTTAGTACAAAATACTTCGAAAATTTTAATCAATAGAGCTACAAATGACATTTGGATATAATCAGCTAAGTAAAAATCAAACACACACTTTATCAAATAACTTGAGCACTTAAAAAAGCTTCCGATATTCTACAAACGAAATTCCTGGTGAGCTCCCAAAATTGTAAAAGGTTGTGAGGATTTATTTATTTTTAAGTAACCAGTTATTTTATGTTCGGCAGCTTTTCTATCATTCTCCGTTTCCGCTTTCCTGCCAAAATGCAAATTTTACTTCGCGCGTATTGAAATGAAGTAGAAATAGACACCATTTAAAGGAAGGTTTTTTTAGACTGTGGAATAAGAGCGTGTTCCGCCTTCTGAAGGCCACGTTATTAGTTCGCAGTTTGTATGCGGCGTTGGCCATCAGGTCTGTTACGTCAGATTTAGGTTTCAGCCAACTTGCGTGTATTCTTTCCGTGCAGCCTTTGGCTAATTTACGATGCAGCTTAGTTAAATTCTGAATTAATTACTTTTGAGTTACGCCATAAAAGCTGGCTGGTCCTGTAAGCGCAGTTATAATTTCCAAGTTAGAGCAACACGTTACTGAACTCTTCAGAGTCTTAAGTTAATTTATGCATCCAAAGAACGTAAGACTCTGTAAGGTAAATGGCTCAACAACTGTGCCAATTCGGATTTCTTGCATTTTTGTTGGTTCGTTCGATGCCACAATAAGACCATTATTGTTTGTAAGACGTCTATAACTGTCATGGCAGCAGCGGCAGATTTAAAATGAATTTTCTTGAAAATACAATAGTGCGAAACTTCCGCTATCTGCTGTCCAGGAGAATCCGTATCTCCTGGACGTGTAGTGTGGCCCACCACCGGCCGAGAGGTAAAGTTGCCGAACACTGTTAGTTCGGTCCGGGGCTCGAATCCTGGCGAACGGGCTGGCTGCATGAGCGTTTTCGTTGTTTTTTCCATCTGTAACATTTATAAGAACCAGTTTCCCTTAAGAAGTCCTCCACGAAGGCATCTCTCCCCTTAGGGCAGATAGCTCTCGAGTGCTTTGCCGTAACTAAATAAACCGAACTAAATCTGGACGTGTAGCGTCACGAAGCATCATTGCGAAAACTAAGAGGCAGGCTGGATTCCGATGCAGATATCCGTTGCAACATCTACATTTAACAGAAGTTTACGGACATTTTTGTATAGCTATATTTACGAACGCCCGTCAAATTGACGGGTGCATAAAACCCCGTATTTTCTAAAAGTAGGAAAAAAAAATAATAAAACGTATTTTTGTAAAATCTTAACACTAGGACTACCGATAACCGTCAATTTGACGAATTTGTTGTTGTTTTTATTGGGGTAAAAAAAGGTTATGATAGAATTTCGGACAAGGGGCATATTATCTAGAATTCTTCTCGTGCTATCACTGTGACATCATTCCTTCTTTTAACCGAACAGAATCGCCTAATTTCTCATCCATTTTACATTAAGCTCATAAAAATTACTGCTGGGTTACAAATTCTTTAAAATCGCCTGAATGTTGAGGAACATCTTCCAATAGCTGAAAAATTAAGACGACGCTGTGATAGTTGTACACAAGACGGAGTTTGTTAAAACACATTGGGAAGAATTCCGTTTCCTTGCCATCAAGGAACGCTTCTTAAAGCAATTTTCACGAAATCCATCACAATGAAAGAAATAAAAGGCCTCTTATAAGTAAATTTATGGATGGTTTTTTAGGATAAATACCTATACAGAAGGTAAAATATGTCTGTAATAATATGTTTATACGTAATTAATAATTTTTTTACATTTATAAGATATTACTCTTTTCCTTGCATAAAATTCGCCAAACTACGTGAGGGTGGTTGCGCTAATACGTGAGTAGCAAATTATTATGCAATCAATAATTTTTAGCAGTTATGAGACTTTGTTCTTTTTCTTCTGAAATTCGTCAGATTGCGCAAAGGTGTTTGCTCTAGTTCGCAAACACCAGATTATTTATTATGTATAAACATATTATTACAGGCATATTTTACATGTTAACTAGGTATTTATCTTAAATACAATCCATAAATTTACGTACAGGAGGGTTTTTATATCTTTTATTCTGGCGGATTTTGTAGCAATCGCTTTAAAAGAGAGTCAGAATAATTGTTCTCTTTAGGACTTTGCAGAAAATACCCTACTCCGGTAGCAATTTTATGAAAATTTCTTTCAATCCCGCAAGTATATTTTTAAAACTCAATTAAGACAAAAAATATCACTGTTGGAGTTCAGAATACAACAACAAAAGAGCACATATAAAAAGTGACGAAGTTGTTTGTTAAAGCTGAAGAATTGTCACGTGATGATTGTCTAAAAAAAAACTGTTCTTCGAATGTTTGCCAGAGTTTGGCGTATTTTGAAACGCTGGCGATTTTACTAAGGTGGTTGCAGTAACATGTATGCTTCAATAATTTTTTTTGCATTTATAACACATAATTGCTTTTTTCTTCCATGAAATTCGCCAAACTACGCAGAGGCTGTTGCGCTAATAACATAAGTACCCTTTTTTTTTTTTATTCTTAATAACTGATGATACTAAATATCCCTTAGATTTATAGATTTGTGGTATGAAAACCAATACGACTACATTAAATAACATGAATCTCTTAAAAAGAGATATTTGATTTATTTTTGGAGATTCATAAAGGTGATTAATTTGAAATCGACATCAAACAGCAGGACCTAATTTCGCCTGTCATGCGGTATGATGTATAAAAATTAAACGATTTAGGTAAACATTACTTTGCTGGCTTCAAATCCGAACATGTCCAAAATGCCTATGAAGCCGTCGGTGGCATGCCTCACTGCAGAATTGAGCACTGTCATCGATTTGGACGCTTTCACGCCACCGGATCCCATCGTCGATGCGTGTTGACTACTGTTTTCTAAAACACAGAACAGCAAGTAAGTCACCACGAAACACTCCTTAAAAATATTCGGCAACAGAGGCAAACCAAAACTCCGCAATACATGCTACAACGAAAGAAATCTTACCCGTCTGATTGTGAACCGATTCGTTGCTATCTGAGCTAAGTGTCCCTGAGGTCGACCCGAGCCTCTTGAGGCTGTTGGCTCGGCGAACGATAGTTGCCACGGTTCGGCAATACAGAGCTTTGGAGAGAGCATCCCGTGTGGTTGTAGCCTGGAACAGAAACATGAATCAAAATCCGGCCAATAAAATTGACACTGATATATGAATAAAAGCAACATAAGCAAAAACGTTTCAACTAATGCAAACAGGCTTCAGTGAATACGCATACTGGGCCATCGCAAGACAGATATATAAATCAGTATAAAAATAAATTATTATTAATATATATTTTTGGCAGTTCAGTTAATCATACTGATATCACATAGTTTTCAACACTTTGATAACATACTTCTGAACAACGAGTACCTTGGGGTTTATTAAAGCGGTGTTCAGCCATCAATTTACACCAGAAGGTATCAATTGTATTAATTGTTTTAAACCAGAAAGGTATTAATTGTTCAGAGTGAACCACGAGGGTATTGGTAGATCAAAACTACAGCAAATATCTCTATTTCAGTAAAGTGACAGCCAGCCACAGTATTATCGGTAAAGTGATACCTCTTTCTGAGGTTTTTTTTTACCTCAGAAATTAAATCTTTCAAGAAATATTCATTTAAGAATTCGAAAAAATGCGCATGACCTTGTCTCAGTTGCACGAAACACACATTTTCCATGTTTGTTTTTCGTATTTAAATACTTATAATAACAAGTTTCTTAAAAGCTTTAGATAATAATGGCAATGTTAACAAGCTTGTACACACACACACACGCACACACACACACACACAAAAAAAAAAAGGTTCAATACTTCTAAAAAGAATGTGAAGTTTACCGAAAAAACAAAAATATACATTTATGAGGCTTATAGGGTTCAGATAATCCAATTCTGAAGTTGGCAACAGGGTAACAACAATGTTCTCCAAGAAGTTACTTCAGTGGTTAAGGAAGAATAACTGATGTTGCAAAAATATAGCCAAAGATTTTTAGCTCTTCTAAAGTTAAGATCACAAATTCTTGTTGAAGTTACAAAAAATACTCGGCAAGAACAATTTTGTTTCGAGACCATTCTGCTGCAGCTTCATGTCAGTATTCCTGAAGCTTTGCTATAGAGAGCAGTTTACGGTGCAGAGCAAGTTAAAAAAAAAAAAAATTCCTTTCTCAATTGTTCGGTGCAAAACCTTCAGTACAAGCTATGAATGCATACTTACAAGATTGGCATCACAAACAGACTTGACTAACTGTCCTCTGACGTTGTGGGTGCGAGTGGTCAGTCCTCGGAAAAGAGCTACACTGGACACGCCGAGCAAAGTTGCCACGGCCTTCATCTCGGCTGGAAATGAAACAACATAGTGTCATAAACATATATAAATACTTGTATACATTTGTTTGCTTGCTCGTTAATTTGTGTGCATTTGTTTTATATTTTGGAAATTTGCGTGCATGTGTTGTGCTCATGTGCACAAATGTTTGAAATGCTACAGTTTAAGAAATATTTTGACATAGTTGGCAGCTTTACGTATCTGCCAATGTTAAATATCTAAATTCACTTTGCAGGGTTATACAACAGTCGTGCGTATCAAATTTTCAAAAACTGTGGCAATTCCAGAATGGATAGCGATAGCGAATTGTTCCGATGGTTGGCATCACTATGCCGTTAAAAGTAACATTATCACTTGATATTTTAGTTGCTGTTTAGGCTGCAAACTTTAAAAAGGTCTATGGGAAACGAGATGCAGATAATTTCGCAGGCCGAACCAATGTTTTTCATTGTACTTTATTTTGCAAGGTACTCATATGCAAAAGTTATTAAAGTATTTAAAGTGACATTCCCAAATGCTTGTGAATCTAACAAGACAACGATTTTCCGCTCGCCAAGCTAATTTCGAGAAGATGGAATCGTTCGCCATAACAAATTAACTGGACGCCAGAGTTCGGATAAAATGGACGAAGTCGGAAATGAAATATTGCAATCACGATCGAAGAGTGTATGGAAGAGAGAAACGCAATCAAATTTATGAATTGCGAAATAACGCTCAATCATAAAATTTCATCTAATTTGGAATGACTGGCAACAATCTGCCATTTGGAATTTCCACAGTTTTTGAAAGTTTAATATGTGCGGCTCTTTGATCAGCCGGTATAACTTCTGTAGTGCAGAATAAACTTTATGCTGCGTTTATCAGGAAAGATCATCATTTAACTTCAGGGAATTAATCATCTTAATTTTGGTAGCGAGTTAGCACCCTTAATTATTATCTCTCAACGCAAACATAAATATATGTAACTATTCGAAGTTAAAATAAAATAAATATTTATTTATCCATTCTTTCCCGCTTACAAACTAAAATGATAACACAAATTAAAACGATCGACTGATCAGTTATGCGAAATTACAAGGTGGTGTTACTCGACCTAGTCGTCACCATTCATAATTATTTACAAGAAGATTTAAATACAAGATTAAACACTTGGGCAGCTTCCCTACCGCTGTTCCGTAAAACGCATGCAATACAGCGACTGACTGACTTCAGTTGCTCCTGAGTACTCGAAACTCTCGAGAATCCGGGAAATTTCTCAAGGGCTAATGGCTACAGGTTCACCTTTGTCACTAAAGACGCCGTCGCCTTTACGCAAATCGGAGATTGTTCACCAACACAGAAGCCATCATAGAGGTGCCAGCACTTCGAAAAATATACTTCCTCCAATTTATAAATTGAATTCATGATACTGCCGGTACCTTTATGAGGGGATTTCGCCAGGACTCCTGTTGGATATATTCTGAAATAAAGGCAAAACCTCAACAAAAGTTCCTTTCTTCAAGTCACGAAGCCAAGAATAATGGTGCCGGCTTCATAAGAATACCGGCAACTTTATTCTAAGTCATCTTTTGCAAAAGAATATCCTAGTGCCGGCACTTTCATAGTGGCTATTTTGCCAAAACAGAAACCATCATAAAGGTACGGCATTTTGACGCAAGTTTACCTTGTCTAAGTTTTAAATTGAACTTCAAAAAGGTGCAGGCATCTTTATCCTCATCGATGAGTATTCACTAAAATAAAGACCCTACCATGGGCATCACGGCATCTCGATGAAGCTTACATTCTTCATAGGGTATCAACTGAAATTGCTATGGATATTGGAACTTTTATTGAAGTCGACAGATACTCACTCAGGTCTTCACATGGGCGTTCCGGCATCTTGATAGAAGTTGAATTCTTCATGGGAAAAGCTCAGTTTCATAAGGGTTTCGGGCACATTTGTATTCTAATGCTGCGGCACCCTTGTACCCAGAGACGGCGCGAGAGGCGGTGCAACATGTGCGGCCGCACCGGGCGACGAAATTTAGGGATGGCAAAATTTTAGAATGTAGGTAAACAAGAGGAGGCATGATTTGACAAACTCAAAGATCTCACCAGCCAGCAAAAAGCCTCGCTTCGGTCTTGCTTGTACCTAGGCGAACGATTGTAAGCTTTCATAAAGGTGCCAGCACACTCGTGCAAATTGCCCGAGTCAGGTCACATCTATACCCGCCCCTGAGCACAACTAAAAATGATGCTCAAAAGAAGGGCTTTCCTATCGCTTGCGTCTATCATTCGCCTTAAATTTCAAGGAACATATCTCTCTTTACTTAATTAGATAATGAACAGATACAGACTATGAGTATAACATCATAAAAAATGGAATAAAATAACTCAAATAAATATGAACTCAAACTTGCGCTTTTCATGCCGGTGGAAGATCGGAAGGAACAGCGGTATCACGATACATAAAATTCAAGAGGCAGATCTCATTTATGTGTTGTGACGTTACGCATTATTGGCGCTAAATCCCACTGTTTGAAGGCAGTTTTTACTTGTCGAAAACGGTTAGTGGAAAAGTACGTAACTATCTAAAATTCTAATTATAACTGAATTTGTGAAGTAAACAGTTATAACTGTGATAGGACCGAAGATATGACCTCGCATGACTGTGATATTAAACTAATAATAATGTTCAAAATTATGAAAATGTAGTCAATTAAGATACGGTCTTGGTTCATCAACGAAAAAAATCTGATGCGAACACTATGACTGGTTAGGCTTATTAAATTGTACACACTTTTGCTGCACTTCATTTAAAATTATTTCCTCGAGTTATTTTAACTTAATTAACCTATCCGTGAAGGCAAGTTGAAAATGACATCAAAAACTGCAAATTTTGAAATCAAATATCCCTCTCAGTTTTTATGGTATTTGTCCAAAATTAATTTTTTAATTTCACCATTGCCAAAACACGAGTATTTTCTTCATTCAAAGCGCTTCTGTAATTGGAAGCATATGACGACGTGAAACGATTGCGAAATAAAGGCCGGGTAAAGACTTTCATCCCGGGTACACTTTCCTCTCCGTCGATTTCAATCAAAACGGGAGCTTCACAGCTAGATGTTATAGTAGTTCTAATGTACAAAATTTCGACGCTCTACAGCTAATCGCTTTTGTATTACACGAGATGCATACCCAGGTACAGATGTCACAAAAAAAATCCATTTTACAATCTCTTTTGGAATAAAGAGTCCCTTATTCCGTCCGCACGTACGGAAATCAGTCAACAAAAAAAAAAAAAAAAAAAAAAAAAAAAAAAAAAAAAACGTCAAAATGGATATTTCCTTTGAAATCGGATAAGCAAAATTTTTCGCAACTACAATTTTCCTTTACTTCGTACAAGAAAGTAATAAACGAAAAAGTGGTGTAAAACGTTGTATCACAACAGCAGCAGTATCCTAAATGTAATGCATCGTCTTTTGCTGATGGAATTTAAAAATTGAGTTTCTTACCATTTCCACCCTTTATGTCCACTTCCATTCCTGCTCCATCCACAAACTGAATGTTTCCCAGCAGCAAAATGGCTGCCAGCACCCTGACCACGTCCATGGAAGGAATACCTAATACTGAAAGGCAAGACTGGAAAGAAAAAACAAAAATTTAGAATTACATGACAATTGACGATACTTTATTGATTCATTATTAACATGAAACATTTGGATGCTATTTAAGAGATCATCACTAAATTTTTATAGTCTCTGTTACCATAAAATTTCAAACTTATTCTGTTATCGAGAAAAATTCTATATATTGTTATAAATTTTGTACACAGAGAGATGATTTTAGTACAATTATGTGTGAAATTGTTGTACCTTTTTGTGCAATGCAACGCGAAAAATCTTAAGACAGAAGCTATACTAGAAAAGTACGAATAGAAGGGCATGTTTATTTAACATTGAGTAAATCGGTATCCCGGTAATTTGGCGAGAAATCACCAAACTTCGCGACCATTTTAATCCAGTCCTTGTTCCCCCCCCCCCCCCCCCTCCCCCCCGGAATTGACTCAGGAGAATTCCTGGGATGTACTGGCTAGGATCTGTATTTAGGCAGTTTCAATCACGAGGGTATATAGAGTAGAACTCCAGTTAACCGAATTCTCACTATCCGAGTCGCTGATTATCCGAATCGCTATCAGAATTTAAGAATCAACCAAAGAACAGAAGGAAAAGGAAAAAAAGGAAAAAGAAGCTCAAGAAAAGGAAAGGGAAGAGACAGGAGAAGATGAAGATGACGTGTCACTTGAGGAATTAAGAGACATTCTTTCGCAAACTCCTCGATGTTCAGAAGTTAATACTGAAGAGACAGCAGAATGGATGGTGTGTGATTCGTCAGACCCTAATTCTAAATGATGAACTTATTGAAAGTGTGAGAGAAGAAAGTGTCGAGGAAGAAGAGGACCTTAATGTCGAAGTTGAAGCAGACACGGGACCTTCAGCTAGTGAAGCGTTTGCCGGCCTGGAAACTGCGCTAAAGTGGATGGAGCGTCAGCCCGAGCTCATGGTCAAGCGGACGCGCGAATTGGCTGCCGGAAAATGAATGTTGACAGTCAAACAGCTTCATTTGACCGAGATGTTCATCAAGCAATGACTTTCAGCACTTGTAAGTACTGCACGGTACGCTGTATAAGTGTTGCCTTTTCATTTTAATTAAAACCTCTTTTTCTTTAAAAAAAGTTTTTTTTCTCTTCCATTTTCAACATACAGTAAGTAGATACAATAATTAATTAAAGTGTACGTAGATTCTTTCTTCGAAAAAAATCCGATTATCCGAATGAGGTCCGGCCAAAACTGATTCGGATAATTGGAGTACCACTGTAATTAATTTTGGCAAGACTAGAGCCCCCTTATTCGGAGGTTGGTTCGAGCTTGGCAGGGACAGTATTGGTACTGTCGTGTCCATTCCTTCATCTCCCGTGGAGCTAGATCGGAGATCACTGACCAAGCGCTCGGGGGTTTCACTCCATTCAGTTATCGTGGCTGGGAATGACAGAATAGACAGAGCACCCAGCAGACGACTATCGAGCCGATGGAGTGGCCCCCGGAGGCGAAGGTGACTCGTTTGTTTTTTAATAGTATTATGTGTTTTTTGCAAGCGTTCGAATTAAGGCTTTGTCCCAATGCTTTGTATAAAGCCAAATGAGGACTGCGGGGGATATGCCCACTTGGACGAGTCTCTATATTAAAACCCCGTACGGCTATATCAAAGTCTGGGATCTATGTCTAGTGTTCTGGTCATCACTGTATTAGCTGTAACCGTAATTTAAGCCTCATACTTCCTTCCAGTAATTTCGTGAAGCAGAAAATACTAGAAATATCTCGGCGGCTGGGAGAAAACTATATAAAGTCGGTCAGAGCATCTGCTCTCGGTTGTTGTTGTTAGCCGTTAGCTCAGCGTGAGTTCCGAGCATAGCTTCGTTCTTTAGCTCCGCTTTGCATTGCATTGTGTTTAACGTTCTTATTAGTTTGAAGTCTCACTACTGATTGTGCTCTGTGATTTTGTGAAGAGTTGTACGACCATTTTTGTGGAAGTTTCAGATCTTTGAAGTGTTTATTTTGATAGATTATTTTATCAACCTATCCTCGGAGCTATGTGCATTCAGTCTATCTGTATTGCGAACTCGAACGTAAGCAACGATATTAATTTAGAAAATTATAAAAACCACGAACATTTTTTAATGAAATCGGAGCAAAAACGTATGAAACTTTGCGCAGTTTTCTAATTAAAAAAGCGAAATGAAATTATTCTCTTAACTATTAGAGCACGGATGGTATTTTGGCGACTGTCATAATGAATATATTTCCCTCGCATATGCTGTTTTCAATACTTCCGCCTCTCCTTAGACCTACCAGTCGTTGAACGGTAAAACCGCAGAAAACTAATAGTTTTCCCTTTAACGGCCAGATACCTTGCTAGTTAAGCATTGATCAGGAAAGGCCGAACCCAACCATCATTTAGCCGTATCATCACGCCGGCAAACCGATTCTACATTCGCAAGTCAAGGGTTTTTCTCTCCTCTTCCCCTGCCTTCGACCTCTCGAAAGGACTTTAAGATCGATATTTTTTAAGACCTCCACGCCGCACAGCTACCTACGGGATTCGATCTTGGGACCAAAGCTATGGCAGCCGGTTTCCGTACCACTATGCTAACGGAGGGGGGAGACATTGGTAGTTTGTCTCGTGTTAGAAGCTATCTGCCGCTTTCTGAAATAAATTCAAGCACATAATGCCATTAACTCTCTAAATAAGATGATGACAAATACGGCGAATTTCCTGCAAATATTGAGATGAGGGATGCCGTACGAATATTAAATAACTTCTGGCAAATTATTTCCAGAAACATTATGAACAGGCCTACGCAATCAACTGTTAATGACGTTTTTTCTTAATTAAAATGCTGTTAAAGTAAGGATTTATATTAAATTAGTTTCCTTCCATTGATATTTTGAAGGATATTTTCTCATCTCTTAAAGGATTTTCCAAATTCTGTAAGTTAAGTGACGCCATTAAAATAAAGCAGAGGGAAGAGCATAATCTTGTTTATTTACTGACCTTGACCTGTAAGTCAAGTGACGTCATTGAAATAAGGCACTGGGAAGAGCATAACCTTGTCTATTTACTGACCTTGATTAAATCTGCGTTCGAACCCCAGTGAGTGGGTTGACGGTATGGGATTTTTTGTAATTTTCCTCGCGTGTTACGTAGATACGAGTTCGTTTCCTTTAAAAAATTCTCCACGAAATGATCCGCCTTCGCTCGGCTGATAATCTCGTGTGCATCGCCCTAATCCCAATAAAAAAAAGAAACACATTCCTGTAAACAAAGAAACTTTGATTGACGTCTTACCTTCCACGCTTCGAACCTGGAAGCATCTTCGGTCTCGTTTTGGCTGACATCTCCTTGGTTTAGGTAGCAGAGGTTGTGTAAAGAGTAACCAGCGAGACTAAGTTGAGCTGAGGAGAAAAGGTAAGAGAAATTATTATTATTATTATTATTTTGTTTGTTTGGGTAACGAAATGAAACAATATTGCCTCTTCGATCTTACTAGGCGATTTTTTTTGCAAAAAGTTTTAAAATAAAGATTATGATAAATACATTTATTAACGTCATTTGTTTGCTATAATGAATTATTAAATTACATATTGTAGTATACAGATAGATTTTTTTCCATGCATTTTAAAAATAAATTAGTTAATACTGTCTGTCTATCATTAGAAAAGTTCTCGCCAGTTAGTCTGCAGCTTTCCGTTGCCATAGAAACCAGCCTTGACCTATTTTCCTTAGGGGTGTCTTTAAATCTCTTTTTCCCTCAGTCAGCAGTTGCCAAAAACAAAATAACAACAAAGCAACTCTTGGTTCACCCCTATTTGAAGAATACTAGCCCTGTTGCTATAGCGACCGCCAGCCGCCAGACACTGTGGCGGGAACTATTCTTCTCGCAGACAGACAGTATCTTTTATCTTAGCCATATATGTTAAATACGCCCCCCTGTACATCAGTTTGAAATATTGCTTTATTATGTTCAAAGTAATTATTTTTTTCGAATGAATGTAAATGTATTAATCATGCTAATTTTCGGATGAATACAAATGTATTAATTATGCTAATTTTCGGATGAATGTAAATGTATTAATCATGCTAATTTTCGGATGAATACAAATGTATTAATTATGCTATTTTTCGGATGAATGCAAATGTATTAATTATGCTATTTTTCGGATGAATGCAAATGTATTAATTATGCTAATTTTCGGATGAATACAAATGTATTAATTATTCCCGCTTCTCCAATTGCCTTTTAAGTGGAGTGTAAAGACTTTTCTTTTTTCTTACCGCGTTCCTCCGCGGTTTAATTGGAAGCACGTCCGACTGGCAATCGGACCCTGTTGATTATACATATTTCCTGACTTATTTAGATTCTTTAAACTACTTATTTATTTTCCTTAAATTTTTCTTTCAGAATAATAAAATAATTATTAGAAAATAACGGCTCTTTTTTCCTGTTGACCCACGAAACAAGTTATTTTGGGGACGATGCATGGATAATCGGGAAGTCTATTATCCGTCTATAGATAATTGGGAATTTAGAGCAAATTTATCTATAAAATTATCTAAACAAATCACCGACTCCCCTTTTTTTAATTATTTAGATACTTTTTGTTAAGGGCAGTGGTTATCAACTTGTTTTGCCCCATGCACCCCTTTCAGATCATTCCCCTTCTGCCCGAAACTTGAAAATTACATTATTTAGTGTTTATTATTTTTAACGTGTTTTTATAAATGAAATATAAAAAATTATAGGAATATTGATAAATAACAAAACAAATAAAAGTAGTTTTTTATATTCATAAACTAAAACTAAATACTTAACAGCTAAATAGAAAACTGATTGAATCTTCCTTGAAACTAACAAAGTTCCCCACAGCGGGGGCGAATTCTCACTCCCTTGGTCGACAACCTGAGTTAAAAAAAAAAAAAAAAAAAAACTCCAACAGTATGTATACTTACCACGCTCTTCCTGGGTAAGGCCGGCGAGCATTTGGTAAAAAATATGATAATTCTTTTCATTTGGAAGGAGCCGTATAACCCGGGTCTAGACAATGAAGAGAGAAAATTAAATGGTTAAAAGCAACGGATCAAAAACACAAACAAGAAAATTTTTTGTAATATACACCTACATAAAAAGATTAAAGTTTTAGAATGAAAATTTTCAAAAAGAATAATCTATATTTATTTTTATGAAAAGTAGGCTGGAGTTAGCGCATTCAAATTTTTGCAGTGGTCAAAAATGGCTGTTTCTTCTACAAAGATAAGAAATTCATATGCAGCGCTGTCCCCCACCACTTGCAGGCTCCGAGCTGTTGGGAGGTGTGAGACGACATGCTCTGACATTGCAGAAGCAATAACTTGTTCAGTAGTGTTGCCACTTCACACTACAAGAATCGTAACTTCACGACCGGTGTCAGGGGATTTTAGCGATCTGCACTGTGTCTGTCATCAAGGCCTCTCGAATGCAAGAGGCCAAACTGAAATTGTAAGATGCGGTTTGTGATTGAAAACGTTACAGCTCTGGGCGGTTATAGTTACAGAGAAAAAATTTAAAATTTTCGAATGGCAACACCCATATTTTCCTGTGCAAATAGATCGGCCCATTGAAAAACCATAAATGGCGTTGAAACGTCACAGGTATGGCGAAAATTACCGGCGTAAAAAAAAATTGTAAATGAAAAGCATTGTAAAGTACCCATGAGAACACAAGACACGAGAAGGGGTGAAAAACCTCTATTGGAATCAAAAGTTTTCAACGTGTGCAACGTTTCAAGATAGAATCATCAGCCGAAACTTTTCAATTTCGTGGCCACCGCAATCCCCCGACTTCCCTCCGACGGTTTTTTTTCGGGGAGGGGGGGGGTTCTGGGGTTATCTGAAGGTGTACATATCAAATCCACGAGATATACTTGAAAGATGGCATAAAACGTGAAGTTATACAGATTCCTCCTGCAGTGTTACGTTCGTCATTGTGGTCGACAATCTCCAGCATGCAATGCTGTTATCGTCTGCGCGAAGGTGGGCGCGTTGAAAACTTTTAATTCCAATAAAAGTTCTTTCCTTCCTCTCTCTCGTTATTGGTCCTTTACAAGATTCCTTTTTGCAGATGTTTTAAGCCGGCAATTTTCGTCACACGTGTACATGCCAACGCCATTTATGTTTGGTTTTTCAATGCGGTGATAAATTTGCGCGGGAAAAAAGTGAATAAGCATTTATAATGTGCTCCTAAAAATACTGGTCTGCATTAGATTTGCACACTTACTTAGAAGACAAGATATATAAAAAGAGATTTTATAATAACAATACAAAAGAGGTAATATTCTTTAATAAAAATACCTGATCCAAAAAATAGCAGTGGATTTTCGTCCTGTAAAGCGCTCCGTCAGTCACTTGCACTTCGATGAAGTGACCCTAAAAGAAAACAACCAGATTGTAAAGATAGTTTTAGAACGAAAGAAACGCACAAAACGCTGTTTTTATTAAAAATTCATTAACAACGAATAAAATACTGTACCACGTAACTATCCACTAAAGCGACCCAAAAAGAATTTTGCAAGCTAAAGAAATGAACAAAGTTTAGAAGGTATTTTCTTCCTCGTTACCACGTGCAGTCATGGTGTAACTGGAAGCAGATCCGGCTGGCACTCGATAGGTTGGGGCAGGGCATGACTCATCTTTCATGTTTTCTGCTTTAACAAATACAATGGCTCAACAACTAGCCAATTCCTTGAATAACTGGTTGTGCATTCCATAGTTCCAATCCGTGGCATTCAAAATCATGATTAATTATTAATATATTACTAATCAATCAAATATTTGGCGGATCGTCTCTTCTTTCGGAAAGAATGACTTTGCGGCACTGTGTTTCGTTGGGCAGGAGCCATAGTTGCTCCTAAGCGCACCATTAAATCAACTCTATTTCTACTGAAGCAAATGTGATTTATTAAAGCCTTCGATGTTCACTTCCAAATGACTGCAGAAAGAGAAAACATCTGACCACGAATTTCGCGAATTCATTCGGGTCGGAAGTACATTCTTACTCCAAATTATGTTCCCTCTTTTCTCGAAACCCTAGAATAACATTCTTGAGCTTCCAGAATTAATTACTCCTTTCAGTATTTCCTACCCACACATATTATTCCTCTTATCGCTTGTTAGTTCAGTATACCATTATTCGAACGCGTGGGAAAAGTCTTCGAATGAATGACTTCAGAAGATAAGAGCATCGCATGTGCATCTTTTAGGTTTTTTCGTAAAGAAAAGGATGCGCGTTATACGGCGAATTTTCGCCATGTGTAATGTGTATACCAGCCAATTTCCCTTAGAAAGTCCTCCAAGAAGGTATACCTCCCCTTAGGCAGATAGCCCTAGTGAGCTTTACTATAATAAACTAAACCAAACTAAACCTTACTAACTTCCGTTGTATTTCTGGTGGGAAGGGTCATTGTGTTAATCTTGAGCAGCGAGCAACTGGGCTAAAGACGCCGCAGTGTAGACAGATTACAGGGAAAGAGTGATGTAACACGCGCCAGAGTGAGGCAAGAAAGCCTATTCTTTGAAGGGGGTTTAATTAATATTAATTAATTTGTCTTCGAATGAATTAATTGTCTTCGAATGAATAATTAAGTGTATATATATATACACTTTTGATACTGCTGATTGTACTAAAAAAAGGAGGTGTACAACTAAATGTTATAGCGGTTCAACACACAAAACTTACACGCTCTACGGCTAATCGTTTTTGAGTTGTGTGAGATACGTACGTATGTACACTGCGGGGGGGGGTAAGGACAGTTCTATATCTCCCGTTTTACTGGGCCGTTTGAAGAAATTTAACTTTCGTTTTTCATGTCTCGAAAGCGCGACTTAAGATATGAAATAGATTTATATATAACATTGTTCTAATATAGGTATTTTAACACAAAATCGGATTTTTTCTGAAATGATATGCCAATTCTTTTCCATATTTCGATTCTAGGACTCAAATTACGCCAAACTGCCATGTTTTGTGAAAATTGCACGAGTAATTTAAAAAAAAAAAAATGAGCTCTCAAAATTTTAGCTCCTCGATGAATTTGATATATATTTATTAATATCTCTTTTTATTAAACTTATTTGATTCTTCCTTTGATATTTCGAAATTTAGGTTAATTCCAAATAAAATTCACCTATTTTTTATGATTTATTTTTAAAATTTGTATTTTTAAATAATTTTCATAAATTTTTTGAAAAAAATTTTGAAACATAATCTATAAAATTTTTACCATCATCTTAAAGTAGATGTATTTTTAATCATACCTGCAATAAATTACAGTTTTTTATTCAAAATTTCCGAAGATATACGTGAATTTATTTATTGGCGCGTTTTGAAATTTGGCACATTTGTTGAAAGCGATAATAACATCATATGTGGTTTAGGCACATTGTTAAAATTATTTGAAAGTACGAGTAGAAACAATATGACTTTTTTCCCGCTCATGCACAATGTAAAAAGCTAGGAACGGGGTGAATTTTTTTCAGCTCCTGCACAATGGAAGGGAAAGGAAAATAGGCTGCCATATATTAACAAGTTCGCCAAATGAATTATTCTTGGCGCAAACGGATAAAATGCGCCAAGTTAAATTTTTAAAAATTTCTCCGTTAATTTCGCACTAGATTTTACAAAAATTTAATATTTAGGAATAATTTGAGTCGTAGAATAGAAATATGGGGAAAAAAAAAAAAGTATGTTACTTCAGAAAAAGTTCCATTTTGTGTCAAAATACCTATGTTAGAACAATGCTATACACAGATCTAATATATATCCTAAGTCGCGCTTTCGAGGAATGAAAAACGTAACTTGAAGTTCGTCAATCGGCCCAGTAGAACGGGAGATAGAACTGTGCTTTTTTTCTTTTCTTTTTTTTCTGCGCAGTGTACAGACATCACGAAAAACTCTTCTTCTGAATTCATTTTAAAAATCATTTTAGGAAAAAAGAGTCCTTTATTCTGTCCGTATGTGCTGACGTCATGTAAAAAAAAAAAAAAAAAAAAAAAAAAATGTCAAAATGGATACTTTCGTTGAAATACTATACCCCGTTCTAATACAGTAGAGTCCCTCTTAACCGGCTTCCATTTAACAGGATCTCCGCTTTAACCGGCCGTAATTAATTTAAATACGAAAATAAAAAAATAAACAGAAAAATTAAAAAAATTAAAAATTCCGAAATTATATATTTTAAATACGAAATAAAAAATAAATAAACTTTAAGAAAAGAATCACTTTGTGCATTAAACTGTATCGCACACTAATCTTAATTCAAAAATAAAAGGGTCACGGGATATGGGTGGGGAAGGTGTTGACTAGATTGCAATTCAATAATTTGGTCATCCTATTAAACAACCATAGGAGAGACCGTCAACACAGTTGAAGAGACAACAGACTTTTCTAGCGTCGTCGTTCAAGTGTTGCAGTGTATGATGTGCCAAGATGCTCATGTTAAATATCTGGAGCGGTGGTTGATCGCCGACAGGAATCTTCTCCAAGAAACTTTGTTAGATTACGACATTATCAGTTATCTCTGATGTGGTTTACGATGACGATGACTCGACATCGATGACAATGCCTCCGTCATATCAAACACAGAAAAAAAACAGATTTATGCTATGTCGACCAACAAGCATCGCCTTCCGCCATGTAATGCTTTTAGAAAATTGGCGAAATTATGCAAACAGTCGCCGAATTTTCAGCCTTCAGCATAAAAAAAAAAGCGACAACTTTTTTAACATTCCGACTAATGGGGGGAAAAAAAAAAAAAAAAAAAAAAAAAACTTTTGTAATAAAGTGACTCATTTAATAAATGCTTATTTTAACTATAAAAAGGTGCATGCCTATTAATTATATATATATACTTTTTTCATTCTCCGCTTTAGCCAGAATTTTGTTTAACCGGCTTAACCCCGGTCCCATTTAGTCCGGTTAAGAAGGAATCTAATACACTTCGCACAAGGAAGTAAAAACAGAAGCCTTGCGCCAGACTTAACAATAAAACAAAATTTTCAGAGAGTTATAGGTTTGAGTGCCGGAGTAGGTTAAGCGCTTGCTGTTAAAAAAGCGACCGTAACTCTTCAGCACGAGCAATATAAATATTTTAATGCACTTTAGAAAACACATTGTGTCTGGCCAAAAAGTCCGGTCCACATAAAGGAAGTAGCAACCATTCAGGAAATTAAGAACTGCGATGCTTTAGATGGCGTATGCCTTTCATGTTTAAAATTCCTTTTATGACGAACTGTATCGCCCTTAAATCATCCTTGGGAAACAATTCTTGTTTTGAAAAGATAAAACTCGTTGCAAATCACATTCTTCAGATTCCAATACATCATCTGGAATCTCAAGTGTCATAAATACAGTAGTTCCTCGTGCACTGTAGCTTTTTAGCGCTAGGCTCTGAAAATTTAAAAAATATCGGCATTAACTTTTCCCTTCCTCTACTGTACATACTTTCCCCCTCTGAGGACTAGTTTATTGGTAAATTGTACTTACTGCCTTCATTATTTGATTTTCATTCAATTTACTGTATTCGCATTTTGGCATTAGCATTTCATCCATTTTCTTTTCCTTAGCATTTATTATTTGAAACATACAATTTGATGTATATTTTTCAACTACCTTTACGTGGCAGGTGTTCCTAAGAAACTTTCCAAAAATGTGATTTCGCCTTACTTCTATTATTTACGTTCCAGTTCACTGCAGCCTTATCTGCTGTTCATGTGTTCGATCCTTAGAAATCCAGATCTTCTTTTTTGGGGGGGGGGCACCAGCGGCTGAGCGGTAACGTCGTTGAACACTGGTAGTTCGGTCCGAGGTTCGAATCCCGTGAACGGGCTGGCTGTATGGGTGTTTTCGTGGTTTTCCCCATGTGTAACGTGTATACGAGCCAGTTTCCCTTAAAAAGTCCTCCACGAAGGCATCCCTCCCTTAAGGCAGTTAGCCCTCGAGTGCTTTGCCGTAATCTAATAAACCAAACCAAACCAAACCAGATCTTTTGTTCGTCCCCTTCTCCTTCCTTCCTACAATTTTCCTCTTGGGAACTACGGTCAAGTCTCATTCATTGGACGTGCCGCTGGGGCTTTACAAGGTAATTCAGCCGGTTCAATATCCGTCAGATATTGAGATGTTAATATGACTATATAATCTTAATGAAATGTAGGTTCCTCTTTAAGAAATAATATTGTGATAGTTACCAGTCGCCTACCCATAACTACTTTTCCTTTGTTATGTTCTTACTGTAATCGCGATCTTCGAAAATTAAATGATTCACGCATCTTTTTTCCCTCTCGATCTTCGAGCCGTAAAATTAGTTGAAACCGAGGAAATACCGTACTCAGCTGAAGTGTCATAGACCATACTGCAGTTTAGCATCTGCAAT